AAAATATTATCACAGCAAATGCTATTATCGAGATAATGACATTTTATCGCAGTACTCTCTTAAAAATTCATGATCACACACATCACAGGACAGTCATTAAAATATCATTCATTGTCTCTATTTTCTCTTTCTTAATTACCAAACGATTGAGACACATTTGATTGAAATTCCTATATTCATAAATCAATTATTTAATCATTATTTACTATTTTCAACTAATGAGTGATATTTACGTTAATATGAAAAAAATATTCCTAAAATAAATCTCTAATGAATTTTTAAAATAAAAATTCAAAAATTTTAAAAATGAAATTAGCAATAAAATTTTCAAAATCACAAAAATTAACATTAATATCAATAATCATAATAATATAATTGAATAATAATGATAACAATAATATCATAATATTGATTAATGATATTTATGAATAATTAATTAATTCAGATTAATTAAAAATGGGGATTATTTATTAAAATGGATTAATCATTCCTATCGGATAAATTTGTGACTTCGTGAATATTCATGAATATTTATAACTATTTCGTGAATTTATTGAATAATTATTTGATTTTAAGATTGATACGTCAGTTTTCTGATTTAACGGTATTTTTTAATTGGCGGGAACCGCCAGTGTCAACAGCTTTCTAACCAAGAAGAAATGAACGAAAGGCTTCAGTACCACATTCAATAATTTATTAACTTAATTAATTATAATTCCGTGAAATGCAGGCATTTTTGAAGACCGGAAAAGTTGGATCCAGTGGAGGGGCTAAACCCTCGACATCAAAAGGTCCTAAAGAAATTAAAAATTCAGCTGCACCTCCTTGGGTTGAAAAATAGTGAGTGCCCGTTAGATTTATAAATAAATAATTGAATAATTGAAGTTTCGGCTATTCCTGCAGTCCAATAAATCCCGACAATTTGCAGAATAAATTACAGAGATTTCCCCATTTTCTCTTTTTTAAGATTGAAATAGCATCTTTCATTATAATTAATTAATAAATCAATGATTAACAATAATCTGATTTAATACTTCAATTAATTGAAATATCAAGGAAAATTTTTCCCTTTGATTTATTCCACTTTGACAATTTTTTTATATTTTTTTGAGTGACCGTTGGAAAATGGATTTTTCCCAAAGGAAAATTGATTTTGAATATTTATTTGATCGCCAAATCGTTGAGTAAAAAACCGATAAAATAATAATTCCAAAACATTTTTTTTTTCCCAAAAATCGACTTCGCAATTGCAACTCAAGAAATAGTAAAAAATAAAATAAATCACAACGCTAAAAATTTCGATAAAAAAATAAATAATAATTTGAAAAGTGGATTTCATTTTTTCCCAGCCGACCTAGAACCGTCGAGGATGTAGTGGAGCAAGGGGAAGTGGTGGAAGTCCTCCGTCAGTGCATGACAGGTGGAGATTTTCCAAATTTATTATTCTACGGACCCCCAGGCACAGGAAAAACTAGTACAATCCTCGCAGCTGCGAGACAACTATTCGGTAATATGTACAAACAGAGAATCCTCGAGCTCAATGCCTCGGACGAACGAGGGATTCAAGTCGTCAGGGACAAGGTCAAAACGTTTTCTCAATTAACCGCAGCTAACACCACACCAGAGTGAGTCTTATCATTGATAAAATAACAACTCACTATCTAAATATTCCAGTATAAATCTGGGTTAACAGACCCTTTACAATTTTTATCAATATCCAATTTTCCAATTTTCTCCAATTTTCCACAACATTCAATCTATAAATAAATAATTAATAAATGAACACAAACAACAGAAATTATGAAATAATTTGAAAATTGTAAAACTGCAATCCTAATTATTTCCCCCTATTTCTATTACCTATTCATTAAATCATTAAATTAATTTCAATAGAATAAATTCTTTAAAATCCCAAAACCATCAAATAATCGAATTCCACTGAATTAAAATTCGATTGACAATTGCATAATTAAGAATAAAGTGATGAGAAGACCGTGAAACCGCCGATGATGATGTAGTAAAAGGTTTGAGGTTCACCCGAAACCACCACAGGGAATTCCCCAATGATTCAGTCTCGTTGTTCTCAGGGGTATGATCGAAGTTGATTCTAAAACCCTTATTACCAACTAGACACCAAAATTGCTCTAATCAAGGAATTAAAGCCCGAAAAAAAGACTTTAACGAGTGAAGAGCGTACATTTCTCCATTTTCCATCCCTCAATCTTCTCATTATGTCATATAATTGTCTGATAGTCTAGGGGAATGCCAATGGTGTTTCGGTGAACTGCAAGATATCAAAAATATTCTGAGGCTGTGAAAAGGAATTTTTCGTAGTTCTTGAATTCAGTTGAATCGATTCGATTGAATTTAATTGAGTTGAATAAATAAATGGATGTGTTACAGAGGAAAACCCTGTCCTCCCTTCAAAATCGTGATCCTAGATGAAGCAGACAGTATGACCCATGCAGCCCAATCAGCCCTTCGTCGCACGATGGAGAAGGAATCCCACAGCACTCGTTTCTGCCTCATCTGCAATTACGTATCGAGGATCATCGAGCCTCTGACATCTCGTTGTACTAAATTCAGGTTCAAACCCCTGGGGCATGAGAAAATCATCGAGCGACTGGAGTTTATTTGCAAGAATGAAGAGATCACGGCGGATAAATATGTATTAACGAAACTGGTTGATGCCTCTGGGGGAGATCTTCGAAGGGCTATCACTTGTCTCCAGTCTGTGACTAGATTGAAGGGCAAGGGGATCGAGATCACTCTCGAGGATGTGCTCGAAGTCACTGGGGTAAATGAATCATCGCGATCTATTAATTTAGGATGAAAACCGTAAAGGGCTTTTTTGTAGAAAATTTAATTTTGGAGGGAAACCATTTTTTTATATTTTCTCGTAAAATTTATAGCTTTGGAGATCTATCAATTATCATAATTATAAAATTCTACTTTTTCATTTCATCTTTTTACTATCAATTTTGTTTTTATTTTACAACCAAAATTCTTCTGGTGACAGGTGATTCCAGACAAATGGCTGGCAAAATTACTCGAGGTATGCGAAAGTAACGACTTCAAGAAAGTAGAGCAGTTCGTCGATGAATTTTTACTAGAGGCTTACTCCACGTCTCAACTGATTGAGCAACTCAGTGACAGAATAATATCTTCTGATTCGTTCAGTGACACCCAGAAAGCTTTCATCGGAGAGAACCTAGGGGTAATTAAATTGATACAATTCAATTGAATTAATTCCATGCGATTGTCATTACTCCAATTGTTCCAGGAATGTGCCTACAGATTATTAGACGGCAGCAGTGAATACATCCAATTAATTCACCTGTGCTGCGTGATAATGCAGGCGAATCGAAAACGTTGACCTAAATTTTCAAAACTCTGTAAATCCCTCAATTTTGTACTCCCTAGAATAAACGCAAATAAATAATATTTTCAAACAAAAAATCTAGACTTCCAACTCATGATCTTTATTCATACAATAGCCCATTGAGTTTACAACGTTTGTACAATTCACTGACCCCCAAATTCTCATCAATTAAAACTCGTGAAAAACAAGACAAAAAAAATTCCTGAATAATAATTAGAAATTAGAAATGATTTCCAATCACTTGTCATCGATTATAAATATATAAATATACATCTAAAATAATATCCGAAATAAGTGAACTTATCAATACGGTGGGGGTTGATTATGATAAGGATGCTGTGGAGGTTGTGTGAGGTGCCTCTGGAGATGTGCAACGAGCTGAGGAGTTGGTGGTTGTCCATTATTACCAGTCTGCTGCTGTTGCTGTTGTACCTGGGCATGCTGAGCCTGTTGCTGCTGCAGAGCCATTAATTGCTGTCTCATCCTCTGATTCATCTGTTTAAAAATTAAAAATATTTGTCATTAAACGCCATTATTTGCTAATTCGACAAATGAAAAATTATCTGATAACAATTTCCATACACCAGGAGACTCCAAAAGTAATAATTTTCCCTGGAAAACTCACCTGCTGGAACTGCTGCTGATTTGGCTGCATAGCAACACCTCCTCCAGCGACACCAACCCCAGCAGGCTTCCCCCCGGCCTGTCTATAAGGTGGTGCAGGTTGATTCTGTACTCCACCCCCCATGGGACCCATAGCATTCATGGTGACATTAGGTGCTTGTAAATAAGGTGGTCTTGGCCCAGCATTCGGCTGCATCCTCTGTTGCTGCATGTACTCCTGTTGTCCCCTCTGTCCCCCCATGATCTGCTGATTCTGAAACATCATATTCTGCTGCTGATTCATCATTCCTTGCTGCTGCTGCGCCTGCATCATCTGCTGCTGCTGTGCACTCTGATGCTGCTGTCCTTGATGTCCCGGATTCTGATGCTGTCCCTGTGCCTGCTGTCCCTGTCCAATCATCTGCTGTCCCCCATACCCAGTGTAACTCTGATTCATCCCTGGCTGCATATTTCCATACATATTAGCCTGCTGCTGAGGTGCAAACATTCCCTGCTGATTGATACCAGGACCACCATGAGTTGATCTGAGCTGTTGTCTGATAAACTGCTGTCTCTGCATACCCTGAAATCCACCAGGTCCACCCACTGGTACATTTGCCTGCTGCTGTCCCCCAACAAATTGATTAGGCAATCGATGTCTCAACATATTTGACAAGGCCTGTTTCGACTGATTATTCATACCAGGACGATAATCCCTGGGTCCAGCAACAGGTGTCTGTGCCATCTGCTGATTGTAGCTGTATTGCTGAGTTTGCGCTGGACCCTGCTGATTGGCATACCACTGCTGCTGCTGTTGAGCTGTCTGTTGAAACATACCAGGTTGTACCTGCGCCTGTGCCTGTGGCTGGGGCTGTGGCTGTGTCTGCTGATTGTACGGTATCTGCTGCATCGGTGGTGCCTGTGGCATCTGCTGAGGTAAAGCAGCCGTTGGTGTTGGTGCTTTACTCCTCCTGTGCCTCCTCGGTACCTTCATTGCTTTACCCTTGCCAGCACCAGCATTGATAATTGGACCCAATCTACTCGGTGAATCAACGCTCATAGGAGTATCAGCTTTACCTGGCTCATTTTCCTTCTTATCTGGCTCCAAATCCTCCGGTGGTAAAGGCGGTGGATCCAGGTAGTGATTGGCTGATCTTATTTGACTATGAGTGTGATAACGCAGAAGCTTGTGTGCACTCTGATAAGTCAGGGGTTTTCTCTCGATTCTCACTGCTCTGAACCACGTCCAGGAGAGGGGCGCTGGATTCTTGTGGCCCTCCAGCAATTCCCAGGCGGATATTCTCTGGTGATCGCACACTTGGAGGCCCTGTTTCTTGTCGATGCTGTCGAATCCAGCGATTTTATTTCCCTTTGTGTCTGTCAGGGAGCCCACGGGCTCACACGTGATCACCTCCATCGTCAATTTGGGAAGGGGCAGCAGCTGGCGAACGTACTGAATACTCTGGGAATTTTTATCCCCCAGCTCCTTCTTCAGCTTCTTCATGAGGTTCTGGTAGTGTTTCTTGTTCTCATCCTTCTCCGATTGAGAATCGGAGACTAGGGTAGAGTGAATTAATGTCGCCAGCATATCGATTACCGTGGTGAAGAGTTCGGAGTTGTTGTTCAAGTCGATAACTCCGTAGCTCACAAGTTGCACCAGGAGAATTGCCCAGTCGATTGTCACTGTGGTATTTCGTTGAATCGTATCGAAGACACCACCCACTAGACTGAAACGCAATTGGAGAGCGTCCTGGAGGACCTCACGGGATTTTGGATCCTCGGATGCCATATTTTTCTCGTCTTTTGTGGTGTTGAGGAATTGAGACAGCTGAGAGTGCAGGGACGTCAGTAGACCCTCCCGCTGGTCATCCTGACCCTTGAGACAGGTCAAGACAAGAGACAGGAATGGCTGGTGATTGAACAGAGATGGAGACTTCGAACGTCGCTCACGACCTGCTTTCGTCCAGTTGCCAGACTCCAGGGAATTGCCTGCCACCTTGAGAACTCTCCCCTGAACAGCACTGGGTAATTTTGATACCAGAGGTGCCACGAGCCAGATAGATCCAGATCTCTTGTCCCCTTTATTACTCGTGGGATTATTCAACTGAAATACATCAATCGCTGCCTTGGCAACAGTCTCAAGCCACAGGGATAAATCACTGGACCCAGAGGAGAACTGTTTGTACATCAACTGAAGATCCAGCCAAGACATTCTGAGACTCCACTGCTCCAGATTCTCCAGAATATTCGTGATATGCGTTCTTTGATCGTGAAAAGCATCAGGAGGTGTGTCAGGATAGCAGATCATATGCAGAAGTCGCTGTGCCTGTTTAGGTGACAGCATATTATCCAACAGCATCTCAACGTGAAACAACTCCTCAGGATTATGCAAACACTTCTCAAGAACCCACTCCTGGCTGCAGATCTGTCTGAGCACATGCTGTGCAAATTCACTGAGCCCCTTGACATTCTCAGTCATACCAGCACTGCTGCTCGAGGATGACATCGCCAAATCGAGCCCCAGGTCGTCTCCAGCTCCATGAATGTCACTGGTTCCCAGGATATGACTGATAGACAACTCCCCAGCCCCTGGACCAACAGACGCAGGTCCTGTACCCTTTCCAGAGTGGGTGAGAGGTACATCTGGCTTTTTCGGTGGTTGTTTAACAGCTGTTGCATCACCCACCACCAGAATGGCCTTGAGAACAGCCAGAACGGGTCCAACTCGAATATTATTGTGAGTTGCTGCGAGTAGATGACGATCACAACTCAATTTTATGCTATAACCCCGAGGATTACCACTGGGTAGAGGATGAGGACTCGTACTGACTGAGTAGAGGGATGGCTGAGGACATTCCACAGTCTTGAAGAGCCTCAGCACTAGGTGACAGGTGAGTCTACCCCTGGATTCAGACTCGGTGTCAGCATCTCCTCTGCCATCATTGCAGGCCCTCACCAGAGAGGGAAGAGCGATGTGGAGGACAAAATCCTCGAGACTGAAGCAGTGTCTTGCGATGAGAATGGAGATGAAGACAGCCAGGGAATTGTGGATGCTCAGATCCTGGACGTCAACCTGATTGAGTACATCGATGTAAAATGGAAAGCTATTGGCAGAGCAGCAGAGGGCCTTGAACACTCCAAGCCACTCAGCACTAAGGGCATTGCAGCAGGCTGTTAACTCAGCACATGTTATAGCAATTTCATTCAATTTATCATTATCTGTCTCGTTGCAGACAGCGACAATGGCATTGCACACGAAACTATATCTGTTGGCTGGTGTTTCATTGAGAGATCTTGCCCACTGGGGCTCGATTTTTCCACCCCTTCGAGGACTGTTGAAGACATCCACCATGAATTGAGAGTTGTAAGGATGATTCGAGGATGTCAACTGCACTGCACTGTACAGTGCAGCTCTGATCTTGGGGTAGGCATTGCTGAAAGCCTCGACCCCATGTGGTTTACTCTTCAGCAGTGAGCAGGAGGAGTACAAATCGTACAGCTGAGAGAGAATGCATCTTTCAGCTGAGCTGCAGTCACTCGGATTCGACACGTGCTTGACAACTTTACAGAGTAGATCAAAAACAGCTGTCGTCTGCTCTGGTGACAACAGAAGACAGCAGTGATATCTCCTGAGTACACCAACGACGTACAGAGTTAAACTGGTGGTGTAACTTCTAACGAGTTGACTGTTCTTCAGGGACAACTGGGACTCGACTTCAGGGAGTTCCTTCAGAATTTGAATGCACACGTCGATGAGACCGTAGATATTCAATGCCAGCTCCATCAGATCGAAAAGAAACGCCACGTGCTCCTGGACAGGTAGATAAGACGAGCCAGACAATGCAAAAACATTTAACATTTCAATAACTTGCGTTGCACACTGCCATGTCACCACGTGCTGATCAAAGTAACTGAGATTCTGAAATTTCTGGGTTATTGCCTCGAAGTTGAATTCATTCCTCGAGTGTTTCTTCACTTTTCCCCCCTCAGCAACGTCAATACTGAATTTTTTACCAAATAATTTGCACACCTCCTTCGTCATCTTCTTGACACCATGACGTGCCTCATCCCTGACACGACCCACTCCGTAAAGAAGAACGTGTCTTTGATTGCAGTCGTGCTGACTGCAGGACTCGTCCTGGGGAAGAGGAAAGTGCGTTGTGTACAATAAATGACGACTGGGGCTCGTCGGTGGTTTAGCTTCTAGTCCCTCAGCTGGATGGCCACCTAGATCGTCCTTGGGGCTGTCTGGTGCATCCATGCTGTTCTGGTGGTCCTCCTTGATGTGCTGCAATATTTTATCCAAATCGTCGTCAATCTTCGAGTCATCCAGATCCATTCTCCCATGATCAGAGACTTCAAGCTTCGTGGGCTTGAGATCAATACCCGGAAAAAGACTGTCCTCGTCCATAGGATCACGATTACTAGGTGTACCTGGTTTACTAGCTGTGGGTCCCTGTATCAAATCCCCTCTGGATATGAGAGTGCACATGTAGGCGTCGTGAGAGAATATGTCGTGTCTAATGAGCTCTGAAAATAGATGAACGAGATTCGTGAATTGAGCTTTAGTCTGGGGTGTAGAGTTGTCCTGAATGGGTGCATCAGTGTCCAAAAATTTCATGAGGAGTGGTTGAAATATTGGTAAAGTCGGGGGACTTCCATTGCTGCAGACACTGTCCTTGTCGTTGTCATCGTTATTCTCGCCTGTAACTTCGGCCTGTCTCTTCTCCAGGAGTTTAGCAACAGCCATTGCCCTGTGCTCGCCCCATCGTTCAGCAGACACTGCCCACTCGCACAGTATATTGACAACAGCCGAGTCCTGCTGGGGTGTGTACTCAGTCTTAGTTTGTTCTCTCTCGTTATTCGTCTCTTTCGGTGGTGGTGTAAATATTTTCGAGTAGAGAGTGTCCAGGGAGTTTGTAGCGTCCATTCTGTCGAAGCTATGACGATCAAGTGCATCTAATGCTGCTAGAACTCTAGTTGTTGTCATTCCAGCTGAACTCTGCTGCCACTTGTCGCAAGACCATCTGCCCTCAGCCGCTTGGGAACGCAATCTGATGCTCTCCTGCGCCATTCGTAGCTGCATCATCGTGGGATTTGATGCCGTTGATGGAGGACAAGGGAGACTAGCTGGTGGACAGGGTAAATAATCCAGAGGTGAACCATTGAGAACTGACGGTGCTTTACCCTCACCAACGCTATTCCAGACTAGGGCTGTTGGACACTCCAGAATTATCACCTGAATTATTGCAGAGAGAGAGTAAATGACTCCTCTATGATGAGGACAGGATAAATAATCATTGAAAGCCACAGCCAGGGAATTTGGCATAGACTGTGGTGGCAGCCCATCTTTTCCAATTTCCGACTTAACCTGGGACACCAATGGGCTCTGTGGCGACGAATTAATGTCGATATTACTCAGCATATGGGCGAGCTTTCTGCAGCAGAGATATGCCAGTCTTCTAGCCAACAGCTCTGATTGCACAAATTCCTCGACGTACTGCAGTGCCAGAGGCAGCAGTAGCTTGAGAATTCCATCCTCTGATGGTGCAGAGCGCATCTTATCGAGGAGCTCCAGAATCCACTGCAGGAGCTCTTGACGATCCAGGAGACCCTCTTCAAACATGTATTTCGCTAGTTGGACGCAGTAGTGCCACTGCTTCAAGGCCAATCTGTGCTCGTCGTTCATCGATGGAGTTGGAGTTGACTGTTGACTCGAGTTTGGAGTCGATGGGTTCATCGAGGGGGTACCATTACCCGTTGTACTACCATTCGAGGTAGTGCTCGAGGAATTTGGATTGGAAGCTGGTGGATTTGACGTGGATGTTGGTGTTGTACTGCTACTGGAGGAACTGCACGAGCCATTTATCGTGGGTGGTGTGGTCGAGGGATGATGCAGGGGATTACCAGAGTGATAGTACTCGGATATCTTCGAGAGCTGATCCTTCAGGAATTTAATAAGAGTTCCAGTCCACTCTGTCGTTGGATCTGGCAGCTGTCTCTTCTTCAGTTTAGACTCCGACACCGCAACAGTGTAAGCAGAACTCAATTTAATAAACCACGCAGCCCTCAGCATTGGCACTTGGTACTCACACAGAGTCATGAATATCTCCTCCTTCTTGTTGAAATTTGGTGCTTTCTTCGCCAGTGTCACCAGAGGTTTGCAACCAGATAAATCTTTAAACCAAGTTTCAATCTGATTTTTCGTTCTTGCTGTCACTGGCCAGAAATTGTCTTTAGTATTCATCTGCTGGCGTTTTCTACCAGTGTCTGGCATCGTCGCTAGTTCCTCTTTCTTAGCAAGAATGGCATTGAAATAAGCACCGACCTTGGCAGCAGTGACATTGCAGTGTCTAGCTGTACCAAATTCATCGGACAATGATGTTGTCGTGGCAAAACCGTGTTTTACGTTTGTCAGGGTCAACTCGTCCTCCTTCTGCTTTGGCTCCTGGGGATAAACATCTGGTGGGCCCAATCGGGGCCTCTTCAGGGGCCTTTTCTCATACAATATACCCATCATTATATCAATTATTCAATTACACTTGACACTTATCACGAGGGACTAATCATTTGACCGACTTATTATCACCTGGGGGCTTTTATTTATTTATTTTTTTATTCTTTGGGGAGATTATTTCACTTTTGTGTTGACGTTTAGAGCGTACATAACCTTCACTCAGATAATTGTCATCTTTTAGGGGTTCAGGTGAGAGAATTATTTTTTTTATCGTCGCTTGTGTTGTCTCGTGATTGTTCGTTATTGATTACATTGTTCTCACAGGTTGGATGGGGACGATGAGGGGTATAAGGACGAACCCAGGAATTCCACTGGAACCACCATCGACGCCATTGCCGAGGGATTCAGTGGTTTCATTTCGTTCTTCTCGATTTTTTTTCGAGTATCGATACATATATATATCTCGATTATCCTCAAACTCCAGTTTTCGATAGAAAAAATGGAAATTGGAAAAATTAACGGAACAATACAATTTTTAATTATTAATAAATACATTAAATGATTTATTTTATTTTTTTTTTGGGCGGTGAATTGAATGGGATTTGGCGGTTTTCGAAATATGTGGAAAATTTTCAGATTGATTTTTTTGTCGATATGAAGTGTTCGAGACAGTTCGAGTTTTTTGACGATATGGAAATAATCGATTTAGCATGGGGCAAAATGGGTGCGTGATTTAGAGGAAGATCAAATATTTTGTCGTAATTTTTTGTGGTTTTTGGGGACGTGATGATTTATCTGGTGATTACGTGAAGACATTTTGAGATCATGGCGTTGAGGACGATTTTGTGGCTTGGGGAAACCCCTGGGAAGTGGTATGTGATATTTATTCCTTGATGGTTTTGATGTGGTAGAGGTTATGCACCTCATTGCATCATTTTTTTTTGAGGATTTTTATTTATTCTCGGGGATGTTTCAGTTTGTTTACGAGGGGACAGGGGCACAGGACATTGCTGGAAGTTCCCAACACCTCCAGGTGGACCCGGGGATTCAAGAGATTGAGGGCTGGTGAACGTTCTGCTATTTCAGAGGGTCTTGGGGGTGAAATTCAAGCTGGGGGACAACTCTGGAAACCTCTAGGCTTTACTATCCTCGTAGGTCAAATTTTTAAATCCTCAATTAATCCTTACTTAATCCTTAATTAATCCTCAATGATGAATTTGTTCTCGTGGAGATGATTAAATTTTGACGTATCATTAGACTTTTTTGTAGCTGATATAATTCCCCACGTAAAATATCTCTTAATATTTCGTCGTAAGGTTAACGGGTTCTGAGATAAATCGATATTCATGAAGACTGTTTATTATTGTTTATATTATTATAATTTGTTTATTAATTTTGCAGTTTGGGGGTGCAGTACACATTGGAGCGACGATATGGGAGTACGAGAGGGTCCGAAGTCATGCAATCAAAGTAAAAAATCGATTTCAGCAATGGAGAGTTAACGTACGTCTCCACTATTTCTTCCTAAAGGAAAATCTGATAGACGACAAACAATTCACAATTAATTCATAATTAATAATTTGATGGATTGAATTATTGGAATAATTGATGAATATTATTCACAGAGGACCGGATGGAGAGGGGAAATGGAGACCTGGTGGCGAGGTCTGTCAGAGAGCCAACGAGTATTCGCTCCCATATGTTTTTTAAACGTCGTCGTCTTCCTGGGCTGGAGGATACCATCCCTGAAGAACACAATGGTTCGATACTTCTGCTCGAATCCCTCCTCCAGTAAGAAATACGACCTGTAATCACCTGGAGCTATCTGAAATTTTTTTCTCTAATGCTCCACTCGTTTTTTAGAGGCTGTCTGTTGGCCCATGCTCCTCTCAACATTTTCCCACAGTTCTGCACTCCATTTAGGTGTCAATATGTATGTATTATATAGCTTTGGCACAATGGCGATTCCCACACTAGGACGAGAGCAATTCGTCGCACTTTATTTGACGAGTGGTGTCGTCTCTAATCTAGCTAGTCATCTGTACAAAATTGCCCTGGGGCGACCTGGGCTATCACTTGGTGCAGTAAGTTCAGAGAATTTATTTTATTTTCAGCATTCAAATCATTTCGGAGCCACTATTTTCGATTTTCTGTAGAACTCTTAAAAATCACCGAATAATCCTTAAAATTCTATCCTCTATTAATTATTACCATTCTAAAAATGTTTTGCTTCCATGTGGAATAATTGTAATCCTTGAAATTGAAATTTTGGATTTTTTGCGGTACCTCAACTCGTTATCTGACAATTTTTTCAATCCGTAATTTATTCATTGCTAATTTATCAGCAAAAATTATTATTTATATACGTAATTAAAGAGCAATTCTCTATTTGTGTTTTGATTATTTCAGTCTGGAGCAATTATGGGAACTGTCTCGTACATTTGCATGCAGTATCCAGACCTGAAAGTTGCCATAGTCTTTCTACCGATGTTTGGATTCACTGCTGGATACGTGAGTTATTCAGAACATCTTGAGAGCTGGTGGAAATAAATTTCAACTAATTTTCGATTTTAGGCATTGAAAGGGCTTCTGACTATGGACACATTGGGCTGTGTCCTTGGCTGGAGGTTTTTCGATCATGCAGCTCATTTGGGTGGAGCTCTCTGGGGAATGTGAGTACCTAATTAATGAATTCAATATGCACCATAAATAATTGATTAACTAATTAAATTAATTAATGAAATATGAATTATTTTATTCAGATTCTGGCACACGTGGGGCTCCACCAATCTCTGGCAGAAACGAGATCCTGTCCTGATGTTCTGGCACAGCTTTCGTGATCCAAAGAAGACTCGGTAATCGTTGAAATTATTTTTATAAATTAAATAACGAGCAAGTTTTCACCGGAGTATTGACCAAAATCCATCGATAAATAAAACTGTTAATTTTTCACCAATTCCTCGTGGTTTTTTGGTTATTATTGTATAAAGTGGAAACATTATTCGATAAATTCGTAAACTGGATGATAAATCAGCGGAGCGTGACGTTCAATTCTCGAGGTACTTGACGTGATGTCTCACGTGGTCGTCCATGAAGGTCGAGACGAAGAAGTAGCTGTGGTCGTATGACTCTTGCATTCTCAGGATGAGAGTCACACCAGCATCTTTGAAAGCTGACAGGAGATTGTCAGGTAGCAACTGCGAGATGAAACCGTCGGCTTTACCCTGATCTATCAGGATACTCAGGGGTGGTCCTGAATACGATTTCACGAGGTGCGTTGCGTCCCACTCCTTCCACGACTCCTCATCATCTCCCAGATACGACGAAAAGGCTTTCTTTCCCCAAGCACTTTCAATTGGATTGCCGATGGGAGCGAATGCAGAGACTGTTGTGTACATTCCGGGATTCTTCAAGGCGCAGATCAGAGCCCCGTGGCCTCCCATACTAATTAATTAATTCGTCAATTAATTATTAAATGAAAAAATTGAAATGTCATGTCTGTGAATCACTTGATCGCCAAATACTTTTATTTATTCATCTTTGTTTGAATAGATAAATATGAAAAATTAATACTGCAAAAATGTTTAATGTCCTGTCCTTTTAACCCCAGAGTAATAAAAATAATAATTAGGATAATTACCGCTGTAATCGTTAGAATTATTAAAATTTATTCTTTAATCACCTGTGACCCATGATGGACTGCCTCGAAGGTATCACTGGGAAATTACTGTTCACCAGAGACGGCAGTTCTTTCGTGATGTAACTGTACATCCGATAATTATTTTTCCATGGCTCTTGGGTGGCATCCAGGTAGAATCCTGCACCCTGTCCAAGGTCGTCGGCCTTGTCGTTGGGCACATCCTCACCCCTCGGGCTCGTGTCAGGAATAACCAGGACAACTCTATGCTCAGAGGCATAACGCTGGGCTCCAGATTTTGTTATGAAGTTTTGCTCTGTGCAGGTGAGTCCTGACAACCAGTAGATCACTGGGAGAGACTCGAATTCGGCTTGGGGTGGAAGATAAATTCCAAAGTTCATCTTGCATTTTAATTCTGAACTAAAAATTATAACAATAATAATAATCAAAGTCGCAGAGGAAAACGGTTTTTTAGTCACTCCGCTAAAAAAATATTGTTATTAAATAATTATTAATATAATAATTTTGCAATAAAAAAATTTTTTTTTCTCCACCAAAAAAATATTAATATTAAAAAATTATTGATATAGTAATTTTGCAATAAAAATAATTTTTTGGGGGGAGAAAAGCGACTTTTGTTTACAAAAAAAACATTTTTCCTTCAACTAATGATTGATTTCACATAAATTGAGGTGAAAAATCTTGTGAAAAAAATTGTTGTTTTTACCCTGACCCCGAGGGTCAGGTCTAGAAGATACTGTGATAATGGAATTTTTAAAACCAAAAATATTGACAATTTTAGATTTCTAATTAAAATGATCATTAATTTTTCACCTGTCGTGGGAGAATACCTTCTGCCACCCCCCGAAGCATTTATTATTCGAAACCAACGTAATTTCTGACATCTGAAATAAAAATCAGATTGTTAGTAAAAATTCTAGGTTAGAGTGTCTTTGAAAAAATATTTGAGGATTTTTTTAGTGAAATTGTACTTTGAAATTGGTAGACGATAGGTTTCCAGTCGTATGAATTCCCCTGAATGCTGGAAAATCAGTCTTGATCAGCGATGATGACGTCAAATTCCTGATCTCTCGAGGAGAGAACCGACTGCCTGCAATCAGCTTCAGACACTGTCTCAACAGACCAGAAATCATTCCTCATTCCATACAATCTGTCTACCACACGTCCAGCACGTGAAGTTCTCGCAGATTTCTCCAAATAAAAAATAGTGCCCCCCAAGATTTTTATAAAATAATTAAACTCGAGGCCCAGTTATGACGAGAAAAAAAAGAGGTGAGTCCTAGTGCAATTTCAACAATTAACATTTGAAATTGCCAAATGAATATTTAACCTAAAAAAAATCACAGATTATTTCCTAAATGTCTTCAAGAAATACATTGAATTGTTTGTATTGCATGACATTATATTTTTTATTTACAGAATTTGTGGAGACGAAAGAGGAGCGAATGGTGATGACGATTGGAGAAATAATCCAGGAATTGCTAGTTGCGCACAACGAGCACCGAGACGTCGACTTGAACAAATTAAAAACGAGAATATCATCGAAATACGGATTGTCGTCATCGCCAAGGCTCGTTGACATCATAGCAGCAGTTCCCATCGATGCCAAGAGCAAATTGCTGCCAAAGTTGAAAGCTAAACCAATCAGAACAGCCAGTGGAGTCAGTACGAGATCCTCTGTTTCGAAAAAAAAAATCCTAATTAATGTTTTCTTCCAGATAGCAGTGGTTGCAGTGATGTGCAAGCCTCACAGATGCCCTCACATCAACATGACAGGAAACATCTGTGTCTACTGTCCTGGAGGTCCTGATTCAGACTTCGAGTATTCAACCCAATCCTATACGGGATATGAGCCCACGTCCATGAGAGCCATCAGAGCTCGTTACGACCCTTTCCTCCAGACTAGACATCGTGTTGATCAAGTAATTATCCTCACCCTAAAAAATAATCACCAGCTAATTCCCTTTTTCACATCTCCAGCTGAAACAACTGGGCCACAGTGTCGACAAGATTGAATTCATAGTGATGGGAGGGACATTCATGTCTCTCCCAGAGGACTACAGGGATTACTTCATCAGGAATCTACATGACGCCCTCTCAGGCCACCTGAGCCACGACGTGGACGAGGCAGTGCGTTTCTCAGAGCGCAGCAAGACAAAATGCATTGGGATAACCATAGAAACACGTCCTGACTATTGCCTGAAGAAGCACCTGTCGGACATGCTGAGGTATGGCTGTACAAGATTGGAAATTGGTGTTCAGTCGGTGTACGAGGATGTGGCGAGGGACACGAATAGGGGTCACACTGTCAGGGCTGTATGCGAGAGTTTTCAGCTGTCGAAGGACGCAGGTTTCAAAGTTATCGCCCACATGATGCCTGATCTTCCTAACGTGGACATCGAGAGAGACATCGAGCAGTTCATGGAGTTCTTCGAGAATCCAGCGTTCAGGGCTGACGGTTTGAAGATCTATCCGACACTCGTTATCAGGGGAACTGGACTCTATGAGCTATGGAAGACAGGAAGATACAAGAGCTATCCCCCCAGCACTCTGGTTGATTTAATTGCTAGGATTCTAGCCCTCATTCCACCCTGGACGAGGGTCTATCGAGTGCAGAGAGATATTCCAATGCCTCTGGTGAGCTCTGGGGTTGAACATGGAAATCTCAGAGAGCTTGCTCTCGCCAGGATGAAGGATTTTGGCACAGACTGCAGGGATGTCAGGACCAGGGAGGTTGGCATCCAGGAGATTCATAATAAAGTTCAGCCGCACGAGGTGGAGCTCATCAGGAGGGACTATGTGGCTAATAATGGGTGGGAGACTTTTTTGTCTTATGAGGATCCAACTCAGGATATTCTTGTGGGACTTCTCAGGCTCAGGATGTGCTCCAGTGATACTTTTAGGAGTGAACTCAAGGGTCGATGCTCTATTGTCAGGGAGTTGCATGTTTATGGCAGTGTTGTGCCAGTTAATGCCAGGGATCCAACGAAATTTCAACATCAGGGATTCGGAATGCTGCTGATGGAAGAGGCTGAGAGAATCGCCAGGGAAGAACATGGATCTGTTAAAATTGCAGTTATTTCTGGTCAGTTTTTGCTATTGAAATAATTTTTTACCACTCCAGATCTTCCAGGACTATTCATTTTTTTTTTTTTTGAAAATTTATTCAATATATAAATATCTTGTTTCGTTTGTTTATTTTGTTATTTGTGAATTGAATTGAATTTTCATATATTCAAATATCGATTTGTCTGATTTTTGCATTTTGCGGGTAAATTGTTGTACAATAAATTGTTTTTTTTTTATTTCCAGGAGTTGGAACGAGAAATTATTACAGAAAAATGGGATACGAGTTGGATGGGCCTTACATGTCGAAGACGCTGGTGAACAAATGATTGAGTAAATTGAATTTTGTAAGAAATAGATAATAAAATAATCGTTTTGCCTTACCATTTACTAATTTACAAATTTATTCAATTAAGTTAAGTATGTACAAAATTTTTTGACATCGTCACGCGTACTCTCATATAATCGCCTGGCCGGAACCAAATGTTAGATAAACGGCGCAGCCCAGAATGTCGATAAAGGCTGTTAAAACAAATACTGCGGCCCAGCTGTGGGTCATATGGAGGATGTAACCAGCTAGGTAAACGCCTAAGAATCCTAGAATCAACGAATAACTCATGAATTATGGATTTTATTATTGTAATCGAAGTGAAGAATAATCTCAAAAAATCTAATAATCTGAATAAAAATGGGAAATGGTAAAAAGCTGCAGAACTAATTAATAAATGAATAATTGAAAAATAAAACATAAAAATATGGAATATTTGGAAAATTTGGAGGAATTTTATGAGAAAGTTTGTAATTTCAGTGAAAAAAATTTATAGACCGCAGATTAATGAATATCTTTCGGTGAAACCACGAGATTGAGGGGTTGGCAAATAATCCAGTAATTTCCTCGTGCAAATAAAATAATGAATTTCGCAGATGAGCTGATAATTATGGTTTCATACCCGGAACTGCGCCGACTGAGTTCATGAGACCAAAGACACTCCCTGAGTGCTTCGGCGCCAAGTCTGATGGATTCACAGCAATTGCTGTATTATGAAACCCCGTGCCACCGATTATAAACATTAGACAGAGCATTGCACTTTGGAATGTTTCAACTGTTGCTGTAACAAAAATTGTCGCATTACGCGAAAATCAATTCGTAAAAATAATTAAATTCATCCAATTACATCATATTAAAATGTGAAAACAACTGAGAGACTGAAAGTCTCTTACTCATCTCTATTTACCTAATATAAGTAAATTAACGGCTTGAGTTACAAAACAAATAGTTTCCACGATTTTTCTCGTCGCTGTGACTGTGTACCCAGCAGTAATTAACCTCTCGGAGAGTATTTTCCCCAGGAAAGTGCAGGGAAATAAAGAAAGCCAGGGTACCATATTCATCACCCAACTCTAAAAACAGCATGAAAATATTGAATCAAACGAAATTATTGTTCAATACTAAATTAATTACGTTAATTACGAAATTATCTTGGAGATAAAGTAAACAAGTGAAAATTAATGAATGCAGTAAATTAAATGCAGAAATTTGTAATAATAGTAGTAATAGGAGTCCTACTGGCACGTCTGGAAAGGTATCATGAAAGTACGTTGGCATCCACGAGAGTAAAACGAAGAAACAATTATTCTGACAGGCATGAGCGAATACACAAGACCTAGACATAAAAATGATCAATTAATCGAATTATCGAGTAATAAGTAATTCGTGGAGTGGCATTTGTGTACCAGAAAGGCGATTTCGACCAGAGCTCTCTCCAGGGTAGACTCTTGCTGGATTCTCTTGAATTTCTCGATGTTGTTCTCCTCCTTTGAGCATTAAGTGTTTGATAATAAAGTAATAACGTCCAAAGTAAACCTAGACTACCTGTAAACGACCAATTAATGATTTATAATCAATCCCATATCGAATCGATAATAAATAATTACCTAATACTTGAAAGACCACAGCCCAGCTGAATTTCACCAGCAAATAAGAGCCAAGAGATCCAGTGAGGAGTGTTCCAAGGGCTGATCCTGACGTGAGTAATCCAAAAAATGAGGCCCTCTCTGACTCATCGAGGTGCTGACTCGTAAGACTTATTACACTGGGGAAATGCATACCCTGGAAGGCCCCAGTTATTGTTCTGGCCATTGCTATGATCTCGACGTAGTGATCACCACTGGAAAACTCCTCGATGACATTTGGAAGGGTAAATGTAGTGAAGGACCAGCCAAGGGCTGCAATCCACATAATCTTCTGCCCTCCAATTCTGTCGCTGATGTATCCACTTGCCACCTGGGTCAGGGTGTAGCCCCAGAAGAAGCTCGAGAGAATTATACCAGAGTCTGCTTTACTTAATTTTCTCTCTTTACTTATTACGGGCATCAGCAGAGGCACTGATGTCCTCGTTGCGTAAAGTAAACATGTGCCACATAATAGTGAGATGAACCAACGTTTTCTCTCCCTTCTGTAAATTACAATATTAAATTATCCTATGCAATATTATTATTATATTATTACCTGTATGAACAATCCAAACTGTAAAAATCGAACGGACACAAGAATGACATTTTTTTTACATGACTCTTTAGCTCATATCTACGAAATGAAGGGAGATAATGGCTTTATGATTGATATATTTTTTCTAGAGCTAAATGAGAGCTACAAAAAAGGTATCGATGGAATTATCAGTATCTCTCTTCAATTCGAAGATATCGTCAAAATACTGGCGCCGAAAAAAAAGTTTATCCAGAATTATGAATTTCACAACTTCCCAGTTCGAAACAATAAATAATGGTTGTTTATTTTAATTAATCCGGACAATAACCTGCTGCTAGACAATCGATTGAAACATTGTTAACAAACAAAACTCTGACATCGTCAGGGCTAAATAATTAATAGAGTTCTGAGGGCCTTGAGAAACTGTCAATAGAATAACTAGAACAAAAGAAAACGGATAACCTAATAAAACCAGCAATTCTCGACTATACAAACTGTCAATTGGTGAAAAATAAATTCTTGAAGGATTACCTGGACCAAAATGAGTTTTTCTCTTCACTCCCTGCATCCATATTAACCCCTGTCAACCTGTCAGTCTCCCCTGACGTTTTTATATCCATGGAATTAACTCAAATTCCTCGAATTAATGCATCGTGTCATTGATGTATCAGTCAACCTGAATTAAAAGACTTCCACAAAAGATAAATGTCATGACAAAAAATTCTAAACCTCACACTTGTGCATTTTTGGTGTTACTGACTCTCCAGATGTTGATTGTCGGTTCAAGTGCTTCCAGAAACACGCGCCTGCGCATTCCATTGTTTTGTGAAATCATCTGCGAGAAGTGAAAAAAAAATATTCACATCTCCAAATCCAGGGATTTATCATAATCATTCAATTAATAAAAATTGAAAGATTAATTAATTTGGCGGGAATTTTTTTTTTCATTGTCAGTCTGAGGTGTGTCCTTGGGGCAGGAATGGAGAGCAAAACCTGTTTTCTATTGGATCAAATTCCATTGTCTAAGAGAGACATCTTTTGAATGTTCAAAGTTACCGCCAACAATTATTTGTTCCAATCGCGGTTATTACGGTCACGTGGTCGCAATTCTCGATAAACAAATCGATTTTAATTGGGGGTATCGAAAATTCGAAAATTTCGCGCCCCACATTTTTTGCGGTTTTTACTGCGCAAATTGTTTACAATTTTTATCGTTAAAGTATATTGTTTATTATATTCTTGAAATTCCAATTTGTTTTCCAGGTATTCAGTGATTATTTATAGACAATTCATTCTTTAAATAAACAATGTGAAATTATTGTAAATATAATCCAATAAATAAACGCGTAGCTCAATTACTGTGTTATTATTTTATTTTCTTATTTGAATTTTAGATTGATATTCAATAGTAGTTAACAGAACAAAAGTTAATTAATAGAAAATTTTGATTTATCTTGATCTTCCCTAAATTACCATAAAGTCAATGCATATAACACTAATTCAACATAAAAAATTCGACAGAACAAATTAACAGTATGACATCTACAAAGAATAATTCTAGAATCGTCTGCATAATTTCCAATTTCCCCAAAAATATTCGAGAAACCTTGATATCATTTGAATCCCAGATTGATAAGAAAAATCCCTCAAGGATTAATGTTTGAACATTGAATAACTGAAATAATTATCGGTGATTATTCCCGCGTGGAAGACTTCGGTATTTATTCCCCGATGGAGGAGTTGCTTACGAGGAGCCGAATTCACTCATCCATTTTTCATATTTCTCGAGGTCCTCCTGGGATACGCTCTTGTTGCATTTTTCTATGGCCTCGTGGAAGTCCTTCGACGACACGGGCAGATCTAATTCTTCCTTGGGAAGTTGTCTGATTTGATCTGGCCTCAGTCCAGCGATTTTCCTCCGCATGGACATCATGGAAGCATCTCTGCAAAAAAAAAAGAAATCAAATAAAATAATCGAATTAAATAATAAATATCCACTAAAAACAAATATTTATTTAAATATCAAAACCACATTTCCACCTTCCCAATCAAAATTCAATAATAAAACTTTCAAATTCATTGAAATTTATTCTCATGTGATCCAAAAAAAAAAGAATTAAGAATAAGAATTCTATAACAAATGTCTAATACTGTATTTTTAATTAACATTGAATTGATTTAACAATTACAATGATTGCACGTGTAGAAATCCACGAGATTCTTCTAATTAAATTCGAATTCGAGAATTTACCTGCACACATTCGTGATATCCGCTCCAGAATAGCCCTCCAACCTGCGCGCTATATCCGCATGATTAACCGAAGTATCGACTTTAACATCTCGGAGATTGATCTTCAGCAAAGCCTCTCGTCCCTCTCGATTGGGCAACGGAATATAAATTCGTTTCTCCAATCTCCTCCTGAGAGCCTCGTCAATGTCCCACGGAAAATTGGTTGCCGCCAGCACCATGACGACTTTACTGGAGTCCTCACTGCCCCAAAACAAAGCCAATTATCTTATCCAACAAATAATATATTTAACAATGCAACAATAATGATTTATACATGAGAAACTGATGCCTGGGTGCATAAACGATTTAAAAGATTTCTACAATGAAAAAAAAAATGACTTTCGGAAAATTTACTCCCCAGAATGTCTAGAATTACCTATTTGAACTGATTCCATCCATCTGAACGAGCAATTCTGACTTGACTCTCCTGGATGCCTCGTGCTCAGACTCAGACCCACGTCTTGAGCAAAGTGAATCGATTTCATCGATGAAAATAGTGCTGGGTGCGTAGAATCTTGCCATTTCGAAAAGCAGTCGAACGAGTTTTTCTGATTCACCTCGATACTTCGAGGTGAGTGTCGATGACGATACATTGAAGAAAGTTGTGCCACACTCTGTTGCGACAGCCTTAGCAAGCATTGTTTTTCCTGTTCCTGGTGGTCCTACCATCAGGACACCCTTCCAGGGACGTCGAATCCCCTTGAAATAATCTGGCATCCACATGGGCAGGACCACAGCCTCTTCCAGAAGTCTCTTGGCTTCAGACAAATCTGCTATGTCGTCCCATCGAATGTTCGGATTTTTCTGGACAATATCACGCTCTAGGATATCTACCAGCTCTCTGTCACCACCTGCTGGCTCAAATTTACGTTCCTCCACGTCTATTTCTCCTTTCTCATTATCCGTTCTCTCCTGAAATCATGAAGAATCATTTGTAATTAGTAAACAGCAATCAGTGGAGATTAAAAAGAAAATTTACTATTTTTCTGACTAAATTTATGGACAATTTTGTGGTATTTTTTGATGGTTGTGATAATTTTTGACGGGATGATGTTTAAGTCGGGAATAGACCGACCTTTTCGTCCTTTTTCTGAGATTTTTTATCGTCTTTCCTTCCAGAATTGTTCCCCTTGGCCTCTTGTTTTTTTCCACTAGCTGTCAGGGGTTTTTTCACCCCAGACCTAGTCTGCTGCTTTCCCCGGGTGTTGGAGGTGATTTTACTCGTGGATTTTTGCTCTGTTGGTGTCAATGGGGGCCAGACATCGGGATCACGAGCACCTGGTGCATTCCAGGATGATCCAACGTTAGGGGACCAGAGGGCTGGATCTCTCGTTGGTTCCTCGAACTGCAAACAAGAGCTTCCCAGCATTCTCTCTGTTCTAACGTCGACTTTGAACAATTGCAGCGTGTGAATCGATGCCTTGACTTTCTCAAACTCCTGGACAATCTGATGCTGCACCAGCTGCCACTTTGATTTTCTCGTTGAGTCCACTATTGTTGCTAATAATCTGTGAATCTGCTGAACAACACCTTGATAATAAACACCCGATGTGTCGTAATTTCCAGTCAGTGCAAGATCTCTCGCTAATTTTGTGTTTTCACAAATTTCGTTTATTGACACTGCCATTGTTGCTCACTGAAAAGCCAAGCGATCATTTAATTCCCACAATTTGTTGTTAACAAAATGCAGGGGATACAAGGGAAAATAATTGTCGACTATTAAACACTTGACGTCTAAACAATATTCAGAATTTTTAATTACTGGGGAATAACTTGATATTGTTATTATTATTGTTCAAGGCAACTGTCAAAGTTGTGACCATTTTTGTCAGCTGAGTGATTCAGGTGGCAGGGCTGACCCAATATTTTTTTTTTGGGGGGGGCCTCATGAGGTGTTTCACGCCCCTGGGCAGTTTGAAAGTTTCCGGCAAAGAGGAGTTTTGGAGTGGAGTGCGGGGGCATTCAAACCCCCGGAACTGAGCCACTACTTTAGTCAATCCTCTTTGGTTTCAGGTTTCACTTTTTGATTTTTCAGAGAATTTTCCGGGAAAAATGGCGACTGTAGTGACTAAAGATGAGTATTTTGCGAGTTACGAGAATCTTGATGTAAGCAACTGTTGTTATTAGTTAATAGGAGATTACTTAATTAATTTGATGACAGGTGCGAGGGAAAATTGGAGATAACCAAAGAAAATGCCATGCGATTACGAGGGAATTCTCAGTAATTTCAGATTAATGAATTGCGTTTTGTTGTTATGATTATGATGATTATTATTATTTATGATTATGGTTATTATTATTATAGTTAGATAAAGAATTTTTTTAGAACCTATTGTTTTTTGGGGATGAATTCACAGGAATTAATTAAACAATCTAGTCCCTCTGCCTTTTTTTATTTATTAGAGATATTAATAAACAAATACTTTTTTTAGGTTCATAAATTGCTGTTGGCTGACAATCCACGAATGACAGCATATAAAAATGCAATTATGAATAATAAAGATTTATTTGCGGGAAAAGTTGTAATGGACGTGGGTGCGGGCACCGGTGAGTTTTTTTTTAATAGGCCAATTATTTGTTAATAAAATTATTAAAAGCCATTGGAGTTCATTTCTCCCTTTTTTATTTGTTGTCGGACTGCAATTTGGGGGTTAATTGCATTTTTTTTTCGATTATTCTTATTTTAAAATACGAATTATGAAATAAAAATACAAAATTGTTAAATAAATGTGAAGTTTTTCTTATTTGTTCAAGGAATTTTATCAATTTTCTGCGCACAAATTGGGGCGAAGATTGTTTATGCTGTTGAGCCGACTCGATTGTCGTCATTGATTGGAAATATTGCTGCTGAAAATGGTGTAGGTCATATTGTCAAAGTTATTCCCAAGAAGCTTGAGAACATTCGAGATGGCACTGTCGAGGTCGTTGACGTAATCATCTCCGAGTGGATGGGATTTTACCTCGTCCACGAGGGGATGCTCGATACGATAATCACAGCGAGGGATCGATTTCTCGTGACAAATGGATTAATATTTCCTTGTATCGCAAAATTGTACGCAGCTCCTTGTCAGATTCCGGAGTTTTTCGAATTCTGGAATGACGTTTGTGGAGTTAAAATGGAGTAAGGTTTTCGAATACCTTGGGGATCGATAAATCTCAAAGATAATTGAGAACGATTTTATTAAAATTGAATTCTGTATCGTTTCAGAACGGTTGGGTATAAATTTAGGGAATCAAAGTGCACGATACCAGAGATAATGATCGTGAAACCCGAAAATTTACTGTCAGATGGAAAACTCGTTGCCTCGCTAGATCTGACGTCCGTGACAATTAATGATTTGTCGACGATTGGGGGCCGGGATTTGGTGTTTCCGGCGAATAAATCGGGGAAGTTGCAGGGGATCTGCGTGTGGTTTGACGTGGAATTTCCGAATTCTTCGCAGCTGTCAACATCTCCTAGGAGAGAGCCCACCCACTGGAAACAGACGGTCATCCTTCTCCCTTGCTGCATGGAATTCGATAAATCAGAACCGATTGCTCTGAAAATAACAGTGAGAAGGGATAAGCGGAAGCCTCGGTGGTATCGTCTTGAGGCCGAAATTCTGAATCCTGAGGAGACTGAGCACGAACTGCCCTGCGACTGCTGGCTGATCAAGTGCATTGTAACGAAAAAATTTATTCTAGAAACGGGGAGTTATTGATAGCAAATGAATTTCTGCCATTTGGGGGACAACTGGAGTGAACGAAACATTTTTACATTTCGTTTTTACGTGTCTTTTATTTTCATCCTTTGTTAACAAATTATTTTGATGATTTAGAGCACTTCTTTTCACGAAATAATACATTTTTTTAGTTAGTACGTTATTTTTAAGTTTCTACAAAATTAAGTATTATAGATTCGCTGTTTTCTGCCGAAAGGCACTAATTGTTTATAATTATTCTTCAAGGAGATGGAGATATTTTTTATTAAAATTTTTATCGCGTCCTGTCGTTTTTATTACAATTTGACAGATGAAGAAATTTCATTATCTCATCATTTGCCATTTTTTCATGAAATTGCAGGAAAATCTAGTTTTTCATTTCTATTAAAAATTTTGGAACTTTAAAATAAAAAGTCATTGTAAAAATTACAAAATTTTGTAAATCATTGAATTTATTTCGCATTTCGAATGTTTAGGATTAGAATTAATAGTTTTTTATTATGAGAAATAGTTAATTTTTGAAAAGTCTACCCCACCACCTTGAGAACAATTTCGTTAAACTCGAATAGAGAATGAATTAATTTCAATATTAATTGTGATTGTGGTGCACAGAATGATGATAAGAAATGAAATTTATATCGATTATGAAACAAGACAATATTCAACACAAAAATTAATGAATAACATCTCAGAGTTGTAAAAAAAAAGAAAAGACGAAAAATAAACTACTGAAACTCAGTTCTCCGTGATGACAATTAATCTGCAATTAATTTATCGGATTATTACATATGTAAAATACAAATATAAAATTACATATTCATTTATGTGACAGCGTAGTCATGAAAATTGTAACTGCACCGATTTATTTCACAAATTCACCATTGATTATACGTGAATCATTGAAAATTTTATTGGGAAAATCTCTAGAATGATTTCTAGGCGATTTGCTCCATGACGAGGAGAAAATATGACAATTCGACGAGAGGACGTACGGATTTTATATATATTTTTTCTTTAATCACAGATGGACGATCAATGATGTTTTTTCGATGGTCGCTGACGTTGCGTTCTCGATGTACCATTTTTTTCGGATAAATTGTCTGTTGAGTACGGGATCCTGAATAACATTATTTTCAGGTGATCACATATTTCTAAACACACTTGCGAGCAATACCGGAAAAAATCAAATGTCACCCAAATCTGTTAACAGAAAAATCACCTTTTACTATTTTTATCTTTATTCAACCCCCAACAATTTAGAAAACGAATTGAATTTCTATGGAATTTTGCAATACAATCACCCATTTTTTTATTAACAATAAATTAAGTCCTTTTCGTTAAAGACATAAAATCATATTTTCTCAGGACTATTTCTGACTGTAAAAAATATTTAGAAGAAAAATAACTTACAAAACACAACCACAGGACATAATATTCCTTGATAAAAAAGTTGAAGTACTGATTGAGAAATAGCATACAGGGGCCGATGAGGGCAGTATCCAAGTACTCCATCTCATTCTTCGTCATGTGAGCAACCTGAATAATTAATTAAGACTATTACAACACAATAAAAATGCAGGTGAACCCCACCCGATAGAATCGAGGGAACGAAATGAAAAAGAAATATAAAATAAATGAAATCTCATTCTGGAAAATTAAACTAAAAATTCTCTGTCGTGTCTAATTAAAAAAATACCAATTACTCACAACTAATCGATTGGTAACTTTAGCAGCGACCATTCCAAAAGCCAATATGTACAATGCAGGATGAGTCTCATAAACATTCTCAGCACTTTTTCTATAAATAATGAAGGCCGGCACCACCACGAGACTGAAGGGAATAATCGGCGATAATACTGAAGTTCCCTAAAATCAAAAACACCTTATGCAGCACTCAAATAGCAATTCATCAATAAACCGAGAAAAAAATGTGGTAAACTGCAAAAAAGTCCATTTCAAATAGAATTATATACAAAGAATTATCGTCCACCTGAATTTACTGAAAAGAATCAATTGATTCAGCAGAAACAAATTTTTTCTCGTTGTATTTGTCCGTTTTAAAATTCGAATGACAAATCGTAATGAAAAATTGAAAATTATTCATTAAAAAAATGTAAGACTCATTACGTTTTGCCACACAATTGGATATAATTACGATAATTATTATAATTATCATAATTATATTATTATTATATTATATTTCTGTGTTTTTATAACTAAATGTTACTGGTCAAGGAGTAATTTCATCGGAAAAATTAGTAATTAAAAGGATTACGTGCAAAATAATGACCAGTCAATTAAATTCAAGCACAAAAAACCCATTACACTATTATAATTGGAGTAAAATATTAATTCTAAAGTACCATGCAGTGAAATCGTAATGAATGGACTGATCTACAAACGCAGAATTTCCTACAATTGTGCAGTGAATATTTGTTGATCCCACAATTTGATTTAGCAACTTAAGACAGAAATTTTATCGGAGTGGATTTCACACATCGCGATTGTTTACTTCCACCAGATTTTTTGGAGGCGAGAGAAAAAATGAAAGTATTAAAAATCATATCCTCCAATTATTTAAAAAATCCATCCAATTAGGATAAAAAAAAATTTCGAATATCAATATTCATTGCTTTTTTATTTTGTAATTGAAAAAACAACGAAACTATATTTTGAAAATTGAAATTGAATTGAAAAAAATAGAAAGATTATTTAATTGAATTTTTATGAGAATTTCTTATAGAAAATTTGTCCATTCAATTTTTTCATACTGACCAAACCGAGCGATTGAGATATTAATATTTGCTGGAATACCTAGGGCAAGTACGTGTGGCTCGTGAGTAACGAGGAAATAAACAACTTACAGCGACAGTTGAACCATTTTTTCCGACACCACCAGCAAGAATGACGGATAAACTGCTTTGCGCAAGTAAAATAGCAATTCCCACAGCTGCCCACAACGAAAAGACCTTCACCTCAGTGCCAATACATGGCAACTATTCCAAATAAAATCAACTAATTATTTAAAAAAAAAAAAAGACAAACAAATACTCCCCCAACAATTCAACAACACAAAATATTATCTGTGCGATTCTCAGTGGCGAGTGTAAAAAATCCCTAAACCTCCCTGGCACCGATGAAATAAGACAAAACAGCAAGAAAAACATTGAAAAAACATGAAGTGATTAAAAGATAAAAATTGGGATCAATTGGGTTACGAAGATTCATCAGGAATTCTTCCATGCTGCTTTTGCCAATTAAAACTGCGTAATTTCTCAGACTGAAAATAACTTACTGCTATTGTGGAACCATTTTTTCCAATTCCACCAGATGCAAATACTTTACAGAATTGAAGGAACACGTAAATGTAGCCGGCATAAAAAATCCCCGCAACCAAGTTTGATAATGTACTGATTCTCAGGATCTAAACACAAATATTGAGCAAACAGAGGTCTTAGAGGAGAAAGAAAAAGTCAAGACTCAACTAAAATGACAACTTGAGAGAAATTCAGGGACAGAGAGGATGTACCAGCATCTAAGCGTCATTTTCACTGGAAATAAATCAGAGAAAATCATGGCGAGAGAAGAGGAAGTCAAAATTATTTCGACATATTCGGTAGGAAATGTCAAGGCAACGAGTCAATTCGATCGAAAATATTTTAAAAATTCCATTTTCTGATCTGTTTTTGTTGAGAGCATTTCCAATTCTGTAGGAATTCCATTCCCTTCCAATAATATAACTTTAAGGTTTAATTTTCATGGAATTTGTTGAGAATTGATAAAAATTTTTTTTTTTAAGGGGATGAAACCCAGAAAATCCTTGACATTTACCATTAAAATTCATAATCATTCAATAACAATAAAACGTATCAATCACTCCACAACTAAATGAAGAAAATGTCAAGCAAATAATATCGAAGAAAATGTCAGGAGCTACAAAAAACTTTCCCTGGGCCCTCGAGTAATCTCACGCTTATCACGATTTCAAAAAAAAATCTACGAGTGGAATTCACGACGAATTATCACACCTGAACGACAATCGATGCCTGAAATAAATTCTGATGAATAAAAAAAGTAGTGCATTCTCATTCCAAATCACCCATTCACTACGTACATTGTACTATGACAGGAAAAAAAAAAAAGAAAAACTCTCCAAAGAGAAAAAAAAAAATGGAACGGAAAAAACGGAAAAAACTGAATAATTGATTAGTGAGTATTTTTGCAGTGATTATGAGTTGCAGTCAGCGTTTTTCCTCATGCCATGCCGATTGTCCATCGATTTATCGGAACACAATATATCGGCCACATCTGGCCGTCAAAATAATTCGTCAATGATCTTGTGTTTAATTGTTCTTTTCGTATCTCTCACTTTAATCGCTTTAATTGTTAAACTTACAGCTACAGTAGAACCATTCTTGCCAACTCCACCAGTAAATATCACGGAAAACATGGAATATAAGCTCGTTAATGCACACACAGCTGTCATACCGCCTATCAAATATTTAAACTGTAAACCGTTTATGTAAGGCATCTGGAAGAAATTTGATGTTTTAATTATACTGGTACATCGTGAAATTATTCAGCTCCAGTTCATTAAATCCATGAAGTAGACCGAGAAGATATAATAGGGTTATCATTTGAAAGGCAAATTGTCAGTGGAATTCACCGGAATTGCTAAAACAGCAATGATTAACTGGTGAATACGTGACACTCGTGTGCTAATGTGATTTTAAACACTCAGCATAAATAATAAATAATAAATTTTCAACAGTTATTAATACAACCTCTGTTCTCCAGACTTCTGGCCCAAATATCGCGGATATCAGGTGAATTCCCATTATTGTGAACTGAGCCTCTGTTACGTCGATTTTCCCGAATTTCAGGGAACCTGAAATTATTGACAATTATTTGATTGTTTTGAAATAATTTATGGCTTTAAAAAATTTAATTTCAAAATTAATTTTCCTCATGCAAATCTTTGAATCGAATGATAACAGAATTTAATGGATTTCATCATTAAATTGGGATATAATGGAATGTAGAAAATAATAATGTCGTGTTTTGTAAATAAATCACGGTGCAATTGTTATTACCTGAAACGTACGACTGCCAATGAGCACAATAGAACAAAGTCATAGCGCAGAAACATTGGAAAAACATCCACGTTGGATAATACCCTAATTGTACAGCGATGCAGGCAGACAATGCGACGAAAACTGAAAAAAAAAAGAGAATTAACATAAAAACTGTAATAAATAATAATAAACTGTAATAAATCCTCAAAAGAATCAATAAAGAATTCAAATAAAAACATTTTGAGTGTTAAAAAAATTGAGTTTTGTAAATAATTCTGACGTAATAATTCATTAGCAGAACAATTAGATTATTGGAACGTGCAGTGGAGTCGGACGAACTGAAGTAATTTTTCTCACTTCACTGGTGATGACTCATCAATACATAAAAATTATAGTTGAATGATTAAATGAGTTACCAGTGGAGACTGAATCACATCCATGGTCAAACAATTCCCCAAGAGGCGACGAGGTTCCTGTTCTTCTCGCCTGTTTTCCATCTATTGAATCCAAACTTTGATAAATAAATAATCCTAGAGCGCAGAGGAAACAGGCCCATCTGGGTGCCTAGAAATATTATAAATAAATGATAATAATGATAATAAAATAATAAAATAATAATCAATCAAATTTAATAAATGAAATTCCATTATCAGTTTAAAATTTTTCTTCAATTTTTAAAATATCCAATTACCAATTTCTGAATAATTCGCGAATTGATTTCAACAATTCATATAATTAATTAAATTAATTAATAATCTTTCAAAAACACACAATTTAAAAAAAATGAAAAAAAAAATGCATGATTGTTATTTAAAAAAGAACTGGATATTTCCGGAATACTCAATTGAGGTAACTGAAGTGATTGTTAATATTCATAAAAGAAAACTTCAAATGAATCATCTATTTCAGTATATTCCGCATCCGATAAAAAATTTCGCAATAAATACCTCGGCTTTGGCATCAGGACTGTAATAAACAAGAATAAGTGTCGTGGCAATGTTAATAATAAGTCCAACAACAGTAATGAGATTCGGTGCTAGCCAAAGTGGAACTTTGCTGACAAGCCATTCCCACCAGGGCTGAAGATAAGCATCAAGTAGACTAGCATTGGTGCAGCTGTACTTGTGCTCAGAGAGTCTCTTCAATTGTCCAGAGGACAATATCTTCTCCTTGTAAAAATGCATAACGTATTGTCCCACGATATCTCAATTTCCACCAGAATTCACTTCCTCGATTCCCCAAATGATTACCCAACTCTGAAAAATCCATAAAATCACATTGAAAATAAATGAAAATAATTGAAGAACTAAAATTTATTATTATTCTCAAACCCGTACTAATTTTCATCAGACGATCAGATTTCCATTCCTTGGGGCTCGTCAGGACGTTTTCCCAGTGATTGGCCTTCAATCACCTTCAATTATCCAAATGACACGATTTTTGAGGTTATAATTCACCTGTCCAGTACACCTACTACTTTAAGTCTACTTTAAGAGTAATTTGAAGAATTTTAGGAATTCGGATGAACGGAGGTGTTGATCATCATCTGGAGTCTCCAATGTCTCCAGTCTTTGAGGTATTGTTTATTTTTGGGAATTCTATTTGGAGTATTTACACATTCAATCACTGGCACTTGTCTTGGTACTTCTCGTTGACAAGTACTTCAAGTACTGCCTCTTTGGGGATAATTACGAGCGGTGAAAACCGCTTTGTAACGCGTGGAAAGACGCGTTTTTTTTTCAGATAAAGCTGTAACTGATTTACTGGAGTTTTCTTTCGGTAGGGGAATATCATCAGTGACCAATGGGAATTGAGGAAAAATTGTAATTAAATGGGGGTGGGGGTTTCGGGGGAAATAGTAATGGAGATTGGGTGATAGGGTAATCACCTGATAGACAGCCAATGGCGGTTCTTTGGTCGTGTCCTTTTGTAAGAATTATCAGAGGAATTATGTGATAAAATTAAATTTCAATACCTATTGTTAACAATTACAATAATAATATAAAAATCTCTGAATTTGTTTTACAATTCTATTGAAAAAATAGAGAATTCTCTGGAAATACCGAATAGAATTTTCCAAAGATATTTTCTATTTCTCACGTTTCGATAGTTAAATTTGATGAACTCAAAAATTTTAATTAATCAATTTCATTCCAGCAATTATTTTTAATTACCAACTTTTTTTGTAATATTTCTTAAATAAATTTGGGAATTTAATTGATTTTTAAAATTAAATTAAAATCATTCAAAATATTTGTGATATTTAAACAAAACAAATTGACCTAAAAATTCAAACAAATCCTCTTCTCCGCGGAAAAATTCAGTTTCCGGTGGATCTCTCCGATCAGCTGATGAGTAAATTCCCCTGTTGTAAAATAAGTGTTTGTCAGTGTGACAGTGACAGTCTCCACAAATAATAACAAAAAAACATTCCACGAATTTAATAGCATCTTAAAATCCGTTAACAGTTTGCAATTATCCATAAATATGTTAATTAATTTCTGTCAGGAATTTCTAAAGACAACAGTGACGTGCGACACAATCAGTACAGAGTGTTACGAGGTGGAAAATTTATTGAAAAACAATAGCAGAGGTTTTCTAGCTTATTCCTGCATTAAACCCCCGATTAATATCGACTTTATCTTTAATTGTCGGATTAAAATAAATCGGATAGTCATTTGGCCGAGGATTGGAGCGCAGAAGTCATCGGGATTTCGAGTTTCTGTGAAAAGTGATCGTCAGGATAATTTCACGATTGTTTCCAGTTGTTTCCTGAAGGACAATGAGGCTGGAGCTGTTTTCTGGAGGTCTGAAGGAGAAAAAGGGCCTGCAAATTTCTCATCTGCTTTTATTGGAGGGAATCCATTGCTCCTGGAGAAAATCAAGACCTTGAGACTTTCCATTGTAAAAACAGAAAAGTCTGTTCCGGCTGTTGATAGAATTGAGATCTGGGGATTTGTGTCGAGGTGGAATCGTCAGGATATCCTGGGGGAGATGGGGGAATTGATCCTCAAACCCTTGAAGGATAGACTCAGGACTCTGGAGGACGAAAAAACCTCACGGAATGGTTCACAGGCTTTGAATGAACCGTAAATATTTTCCTTCTCTCAATATAATAGTAAAAAAAAATTGGAAAAGAGTAGAAATTAATGGAATTGAAGGAAATGATAGGGGAAATTTACTGGAATTTTTTTTTCCCGCGATATTCTAACTAAAATCGTTTTATCCTGATTTACTAATAAAAAAATTCATGTAATTTTCTATAAATTCCCAGAGACGAGCAGATGATGGCACCCGATATCCCGGACATTCCCGATTCATATCTGGATCCAATTACCTGGAATATAATGCAGCAGCCTGTGGTCTTACCCTCCGGTAAAGTGATAGACCAAAGTACTTTAGAAAAATACGCAGAGAGTCAAGGACTCTGGGGAAGAGCTCTCAGCGATCCATTCACTGGTGTTCCATTCACTGAAACTCAACGCCCCGTTTTCGCCTCAGCGTTGAAAGCTAAAATCGACAAGTTTCTATCAGAGAACAGTAATTTACGTGAAATTAAATCCATGCCTCGACTCCTAGGCAGCAATTCCGTAAAAATCAAGAATGACTTCCTAGATCTAACTACAATAACCGCCAGCACGAGTTCAACGTGTGTCTCACACGACTCAACTCATAACAATCGAAAAAATAAACTGCCAATCGTCTCAGTAATTAAACAAAATTCCTATAGACGTAAAATTCCTGCGGTTGCTCATTATTCACGAGAAAATAATTCACTGGAAGATAAAAATAGTGTAATTGATTCAAATAATTCAGGGAAAAATTCGGGTATCGACGATAATTTAGAGAGCGATTTAAAACTCGTGATGTCAAGTTTGAAACGTTTTAATGGAGATAAAAAATCCATGGAGCCTACCGAAGGTTCAATGACCGCCTGCTCTTGCTGTGAATTATCCAATTACTATTACAAATTCCCCTGCAATCATTTTATCTGTCGGAAAGCCGTAATTTCAGGGAATAGAAATAATTTAAAATGTCACGACTGTGGGGTCTTCTACATGTCGAGTCAAATCGAGAGAATCTACAGATAAACAATGAAAATCGAAAACAATGTACAATAACTAAATAAAATCTATATAAATAATTGAGCCACTGAAATTAATAAAAAGACTGAGAACTGTGTAAAAAATTGAATATATTTTTTACTTAAATATTTAGACAATAAAAATGATCAATAACAATCAATTCACTCTCTATACAACACACTCTCTCATAAAATAATAGTATATTAATTACAAAAAGTTCTCACAAAACCGTAAAATCGATTCCCTGACTCTGCCTCTTAACAATTCTCACAAGACTCCTGAGATAATTTCTCTCGTCATTCCTCAAATAAAAATTGAGTGAATTAACAGAAAAATCGATGGAATAATTTCCCTGCACAACTCCCTGATTATCTCCATCAAGACTGACAAGTCCAGAACTACTGATGACATATTGCTCGACTCTACTTCTCATCTCGTGATCCATCTCCAGTCTCTCGCTAGGTGTTTCCGACATATACTTCTGCTGGTGTCCAACGGAGTAGCTTATCCTCAAGCAGTTGTCATCCCCCAAGTCCTCCCCCAGACTCAACTCCTTCAGGGCAAACATCTTGTAGACCTTGTCCTCACTTTTATTAACAACAACAAGATCATGCCTGGTGATCAAAACAGTTACCTGACACTCGTTCCCCTTGTTGTCGACGAAATCAGCATCAGCCAGGTACAAAATATTATCACAATTCTTGAGCATCAGAGATGCAAGTCTCCAGATGTACCTAGTGGACAATGATCCCCTGGGAAAATTCCCAGAAACAGATGCCCTCCTGGCAGATGGCAACGAATTCCACCCAGTCCTCTGGAGAAGTCCCTGACCAGTGAGTGCGACAAGTTCAGCAGCACCTGATAAAGGCTTGGTAACAACACCCACGAGTCCAAGTCCCACACCAGTCATCAACCCCTTGGCACTCGTCTCACCATTCAATAAATTCTGAAGAGGATGATGTGCAAGTCCAGCCACAGCTGCCAAGATGCTGATTCCAAAACCAGTGAGTCCCTGATACAATCCCTGCGCCATGCCCTGTGGTCTCATCCTCCTAGACTCCTCCTGTCTTTGCAGATGCTCTTCGTCGAGAGTGAGTCTGTCCAAATTTCTAGCAACACTCGATGCCAATTTGGTAACAGAATTGACTGTTCCAGCAGTGATGTTCTTCATGAGACTGGCAGAGCCATGAGTGATGCCAACGATAAATCCCCAAGGGCCCTGAAGGAGTCCCTGAAACGGTAGAGCAATGAAATCCTTAAGACCAGAGCCCAGGGCCTGGGCAAAACTACCTGGTGATCCCAGAATCTCCAGTGATCCCACCACCCATCCAGCACCAAAAATCGCACCAGACAGATAATGCATCGTCAGGGCATTCCCTAGTCTATAAGGTGTTGTGAATAAATTCTCTCTTTCAAAGACCCCGAAGTGGAGAGGCGAGTGGTCCAGGGCGACGTACAGTCTCACCGAAGTGTGAACACTCAGGAGAATAGAAATAGGCTCGATCATCAGGCCCTGAATTCTCAAAGGAGAACTCATGATTCCCGCGTCAATAATAACATTCGTAGGAATATTTATCGTTTCTTTAGCAACGAGAGATTGAAGAATTATAGAATCACCAGACATGATACAGCAGGGACGCACCATCGAAGTGGCATACTCCAGTAATTGCGTGACGTATTTGTCCTCGATGTAAATATTGATCGGTGAAATTCTCACGTGTACATTTTTGCAGGCATTTCTCCCATCGATCCTCTCCCAAAGGCATTCCAGACTGAAAAGAGATCCCTTCCGCAGCTCAGACATGCAGTTCTCGAGGGACGAACTGACAAAACTCTTCTCGAGTTTGATCGACGGTTTCTGGGATATGAGGACCACAGGGAAGTCAAATCCCCCCTGATCGAACATCTGATTGTCAAACTGAAGATCACCAATCATAATTCCAAGGCTGAGGCATTTCATTGTTGACGTGATATTTATTATCGTGTGCAAAAGATAGAAAGTGGCGACTTCGATCCTCTGGTTGCTGTCAGCAGTGTCCAAACTGATTGCCAGATTGATTCCCTTGATGTAGAGAGTCAGGAATTTCTCGTCATCTTCGTCGGGGCACTTCAGGGGAATTTTCTCATCGAAGAGGCCATCTGTCAGACAAATCGATGGGTTCTCGATGATCCCTGCAACTTCTGCTGGTCGATTATGATCACTGGATCTTGGAGAAATCCCCTCTAACACCAGACGACTCCTAATGTCTTTCACTGACACCTCAATCTCTGATTTTGGCTCGATATTTATGTGAACTGTGTGTCCCCTGCTCTCCACCATGATCTTCAGGTCTCTCTGGGTATCGATCTGGAGGTACTGATCGAATCTTATGGGTTTTTCCACTGGGAGGTCAATGATTTTGAACCAGTCGTTGTCTTTCGATGATAAATGGAGGAAGCACTTGGTCTCTCTGGCATTTGCTGCATCTGGAATCAATCTCCCAACATTTGGTGTTGTGTAATAACGAGATTTACCACTGGGTACACAACAGGACCACGAAAATGGCGGTGAATCCACCTCAAAACTACACCTGGAAGAGTTGGACTGTCTAATTATCAGATCGAATGAACACTTGTTGATTATCAATAACTGGGGATGCTCGTCGTAAGAGGCAACGACGTACGTCACGTCCTTGTCCTTCTGAGTTGTTATCACGATTGGAATTGACGAATCATCCAGAGGAATTGCCAGGCAGTTTCTACTGATTCCCTGCTCGACTCGTGATGGACAAGACCAGCCGAATCCTGCGTTGAGGAGGATAAAGGGGATCTGGTTCTTCCCCGGGGTTTCAGGCTCTGTCAAGTGATGCCACTGGGATATCGGTATTCCCTCCTTCTTCAGGGAGCTTGGAAGACACTCTCTGCTGGATAAATCCAGATTCTCCGGGATATGGACACCAGAGGACGATGGACAAGCTGATAGAGTCGATATTATCAGCCTGTGATTTGTAAAATTACAGAAGATGTGACTGCTCATCACTCTGATTGTCCTGATCTCCTCCTGAACACTGGAATTAACGACTAGACAGCAGGTGCCTCTGGTTCCACAATCAATATTGACCTTGATGGTTCCATCCACAGGAATTAATCCAGATATCTGGGGCATTATGAATCCTCGATTCCACTCTGAGCTTGCCAGCTGCAGAGGTGGCGAATCGTACAACTCATCCTCAATTTCTATCTGGATGTGAAATATTCCATCAAGCTTGGGGGGTGCTGCCACCCCCAGGTGGGGAATCTCCACAAGATGATCACTCGTTGAAATAATGGATAGGGATCTTCCTGAGGAGTTCATCATGTAGCACCAGGGGCGAATTTCAAATAATAAAGTACTGGAGACTATTCCAGCGTCCTGATATCTGACAAATGCGTGGGTTCTGCCCTGCTTGACAGCCCTCCAGGTGTTCTCGTCCTCGTCCTTGGGCCAGGGAGATCTCGCCCTCCACGAGATAAGATCCTCCAGGATCTGATCGATATCCTCTTTTAGGGGTCTTTTAAAAAAATTCCTTTGGTCCACACAGTTGTAGGAAATGGGTATCGATGTCTGGAGTGTTGAGATCTCGTAGCCACTGTGGAATGTCAGCTGGTGGAAGTTCTCGAAAGTGCCAGGGCAGTTCACCTGCTGGAGCTCTCCACAACCAGGTATTGTAGTGTCAAATGACGATGAGAGAGTCGGTGTTTCGACTTTAACTCCAACTTCCACAGGGAGAAATGATCTTATGACGTAGAGAGGACTCAGGATCACGAGAATTCGTCCATTGTCTGTGGATTCTTGGATAATCCTCACCCAGATGCTCAGAAATTTGTCTCGCCCCTGGTGAGGCACCTTCACCAGCCAGGGCTGATCACACTTGGCATTCGCATGGAGGGGAATATCACCAGTCCAGGAATTCGTTGATTTTGAAAATCTCAATCTAATCGCAAAATAATCTTTCTCATCTATCACCATTGACAAGGGTTTTGCACTCGTCAGGACGTAAGAGCCATCCTCGTAGATGATTTTACGTGATTTTGAGGAATTATCGTACCTCAGGAGTCTCAACTCAAAGTCCTCAACTAGAGAATTGCAGATTATCAATTGTCCACAGAAATTTATCAGCTTCTGAGTCGGAGAGAGTGACTTTATGTTGACATGAACACCAGAGTTATAAGATTTATCAAATATAATTCTTCGAATGCCGTCGCACCTGACGTTGAATGGACGACTCCAGATCCAGCCAGTGCTCTTCATAGCAATTCTCATGCTTTGATTGTCATTATGACACCAGCTGTAAAAATAGCAATCAGACGTCTGCAGGAGGATATCATCAGGTGATTTGCTCTGGCCAAATCTCACAGGGACATTACAGCTGTTGGCAACGACAATTCTACTCAGGATAACACCATCATTTCTCAGGATCCTCTCATCACCCTCCAGTGCAGATCTCCACAGGTTAAAGGACAGCGTCAACGTGTGAGAAATCTCCGGGCCAAACCTGAGGGATACCTCCTGCCACATCATAACTACATTCGTATGATCGGATTTCGATACTTGAATCTTCCCAGACACCTCCTCCAGGAACGTCTGCATCCTGAGGTAAGCGTAATCCATTATTTCGACGGAGAGACTCCCAGACAAATCCACAAGCAGCGAGTCCTCCCATTTGTTAAAAACAAAAAGTACATTTCGTTGTCTAACGATGGAGAAACACTGGGTGCTGGGTACAATATTGTTTAATCTGAAATGTTCCAATGGTGCTGATAAATTTCGATAAACAGATGTATCGATCTGATTATAAAACGATAAATCAATGGCTTTGACATTCATAGTGACTTCCACACCAGATATCAACGAGGAATTGAAATACGAATCGATCCTGAGCGATCCAGCGAGATTTCTCGAGTCTAAATCTCCAGAATGAAGAGTCAATCTCCAAACACAAGCGACAGCTCTAGTGGGGAATTTATTCGGCAGTTTGAACGTCGGTTTCTGGATCTCCATAATGGGAAATTCGATGTATCTCTGATACGACGACAACGATTCACTCCAGAACTCGATAACACAGAGAATTCCCTCGAATTCGATCTCATTATCTTCGATGATCGATTGAAGAATTGAATTCACATGAAGACGAGTGAGAATTCTCGGCTGGGGATAACGCCAGACCATGGATTGATTCGGATGCTGTGAAAATATTACTTGATAGGGTAGAGGCATATCGTCAGCTGTTCCATCGATGAACTGGAAGGCACCGACTTTCAGGTCGTCCTGATAATGCTGTTCAGCACTCGATACCTTTCGCTGATGAGTTTCAACGTTTGAGGGACTGATGAATTTATCTGACAGACTCTCCAGGTCTCTCTGAACGCTCCTGAGGACTCGCAGCTGCTCAGGACCAATGTCCAGATGAATGTGATCACTATAGACCTGAATCCTCGTCTGAGGGATGTCCTGCGGATCGTGCCAGGGCTCCCAGCTGACATTAATCCCACAGTGACATGACATTGGATTCAGAAATACTCGATAATTCCTATAAACATTCGTTGTTATCATCGCTGATGATAAATTCAGGTTTCCACTCATTTTTCTCGGTCTACTCGTCATTCCTGCTGACAATGAAGACAACGAGACGATTAATTCAGACGTGGAATCACATTTAAGGGCCAGGACCACCTGTTTTGTTGTGATATTGACGTTTGGAAGATGTAGAACACCAGTTTCTTGAATTTTTCCTGGAGATTCTGGAGATTCTTCACCTCTGGAGCTCATGGGGCTCTTGAAGCAGTTGGACAGCTTCTCCCTCGTGGAATCTATGAGATCCATCAGTGGCAACGACAAATTCACCCTCGTGGGTCGACCCATGTCGATGTTTATTAATTTCTTGTTGACGTCTGTTTGAATTTTTATGATGACGAATGATGGGGGGATGCCCGTGTTGGGATGAGGATCTCCACTCTTTGTCTCTATTAACATTCTCTTGAAATCCCCAGGTGTTGGGACAGTCTCCATCGCTCTGCCCTCATCAGGAAAGGAAACAGATAGATCGAAGCAGTTGATCTGAAAAATTCTCGTGACATTTTGCTGAGAAATGTAAGTGTTTGGTTGATTCACCAGGAGATGAATTAATGGATAAATACTTGAATTTTTAATTGACTTCGTCCTGAGATTTTCGTAAATCGTGACTGAGATTTTTCCGAAGTTCATGAGGTACTCGAAGGGGAGAATCATTGGATTCTTGGAGTGCGAGCGCAAGTGGCAGCCAACATCTGTAGATGACATGTCAACATCGACTCCACTGTCCTGTCCATATTCCCCATGATTATCCAGATGTCTATCATTTCCCTCCTTAACAGGTGAATCCACCAGCTGCTGTGAATTCTCCCCATTTCCTCGGTTGACCACCTCCTCTAGGTCGTCAGGGCCTTGTGATAACTCCACCAGCTGCTCAACCAGAATATTCATGAGCTTAATCTGCTCTAGGTTGACAGCAATATCGATATCACTGAGACAAGTGATCTCCACAGCTTTTCCACACACAATTGTCTCTGATTTATAGATTATCGGTGGTGCAACAATGCAACATACATCGAAATTAGACGTCAAGGACAAGCATTGAGCTTCAATATTCTCCCCAGTGTCTGTCATATTGTTCCACTCGAGTGCTGGATTCTCATTCATCGTATAAAGCGACGCCTGAGCATTCCTCTTTGTAAGATTCACCTGGCGATGAATCCACGACGTGCTGTACCCCAAAATCTCATTTATCTTTATCTCATACTGACGATCCTCGACAGCTGAACCCGGAGTACTAAGAATATTCCCCTGGGCTGCTAATTCATAAATATCAGGACGCAGAATAACTCTGCAAATTGGATTTTCAGCATGTGGATTGATGCTGATGCTCTCAGTTCTGAAGACAATTGTATCGTGCTGCAGGTCATTTCGTTTTGTCAACACTGGAAACACCAGAGTCACTCCCTTGAGATCGGCGTAGATCAGAGGAAAAGATTTTCGTGGTGTGGGATTTATGGGGGAGTTTGAAGAACATAGAGAACCTGGAGAACGTGGGGATACATAAATTCCTATCGTCAGGATATCCAGGTAAGTTTTTAAGACGTCCAGGGGCAGTATCACCTCCAGAATTTGCAGTTTTATGACAATCTCCGTGATGTAATTGGATATTGAGGGGTCATCTAGGTACGTGTAATGATCTTTATGGGTTTTATGGTGTTTGTGATAGCTCCATTTGTTGTAGACATTATTTGATTTAGCTCGGGTAACGGTGATTGTCAGGAAGTCGTCCTCTTCAACGGCCTTGACGAGATCCTCCTGCTCCCCCAGGCACATTATTATCCCTGAGAATTCACCCAGACGCCAGGAATCATTCAGAGCTGATCTCACGTAATGGAATACAGTGGCTGTTGTGACTTTGTTCTTCAATTGGATGTAAATCGGCTGCCAGTCGAGAGACGTGATGATATCCTCCAGCTCCACCACCATTTTCCTCTCAACATGACTAACTGGATGCATTGAATACAATTTAATCGACACTTTTGTGATCGTCCACTGGATCCAGGCTGTCATCACCACTGGATTGTCATCCTCAGATTCATTCTTCGATGTTGACGTTGTCGATGTCGTGTCTGTTTCCTCGGTGCAGAGGATTGGAGGACTCTGGAGTACCTGTTGCTGATTAACGATTGAAATATCTCCCTGTTCCTCGCGATTCCTCGGTGACTGATTCACGTACAACTCGAGAATTCTGGAACATCTCTGGATTATTTCACTCAGAAGTCTCATCTGGGATTCTGAGCATGAGATTTTAATCGGTGATGTGCCCACGTAAATGCAGAATCCCAGAGTATTCATGGATTCAACAGAGGAATTAACATTTGGTTTAATTGTTGCATCAATTGTCGCATTTAATGACTCCATCCTGAGAAAATTTAATTTTCCTCTCGTCTGAGTGCTGCCCAGTGTGTAACAGTGGAAATCACTCATGTTCAGGGCCCAGGGGAAATTATTGGGCAGCTGATGAATCGAGGAGATGCTCAGGTTGTCGTCTAGTAACTGATCAGCTGAGAAATTGGCAGAGTGGAGGGTCAAGTGTGCTGTTTTCACAACAAAAATCTCAAGGTCTTCCTGGGGATTTAAAATTGCCCTGTCCTTCGCCTCCTCAAGTCCATTCATTCCGATGCCATCGAGTGATCTAGATGGCATATAAATCACCAGTGGCTCAACACTGCATATCAATCCAATTCTCTTCCACCAGAAGTACGAATGTGTCACCTTTTTCGTTATTCCAATTCTAGTTTTGACTTCTTTCTGATTACTCTGGGGTTTAGATGACTCCAGAATCCAATTCCACTTGCGATCTTTCTCGGAGGGGCTGTGCACGTTCTCATGAAGACTTGGGAATGTTTTCTTCCTCGTGGATGTGTCAGAAGAAGTTTCCTCGGTTCCATGATTGTCAGATAATACTGTCGATAGATCAGTCTCGTAAAAAATACTCTGGTACTGAAGCCAATGGATAAAAAGAGGATCCAATGATGCTCGAGTCTGTGATATTTTCAGGCTGATGATGACACCGTGCTCCTGCGCCTCTGGATTCTCGGGGAATCTCACAGACACTGCCAGCAATTTGGAGTCAAGATTCTCTGGATTCTCAGGACCTGACAGTACAAAAGCCTGGGCTGTATCATTCAGGGCAAAAATCCTGATGCTCCCAATACTCAAGGTCTTGGTGAAAGACCCCAACAGCATGATAGAAGAATAATTGATGTTCTCAATCGACAGCTCCAGGTACGTGGCATTTGTCTCGTTGAATGCATCCTGGAACAGCGAGGAACACATGAGAGGATTCCCCATTGCCTCTGGGTGAAATAAAGACGTGAGAATCGCCTGGGACACCATGAACTTCGCTTTTGTACTTGTCATGGTCAAATTATCGAGTCTGCAATCCTGAATCACCCTGGGAACATTTATAGACTCAATATTAACCCAGTACTGGGGATAAATCAGCGTCTCCATCGAGAATGACAGGCTGGAGGGCATCACCAAGGACGTGTGACAGCTCTCAGTCAAGTACAGAAGACTCGTAAAGCCACTGATACCTCCCTCAATCCTTTTGTAACACTCCCTCAACATTTTATCAGACAGAATCCTCTGCTTCGATGCACAAGCTGCTAGCCTGAAACAATACATCGGTGCTATTATTTTTCCCTGAATATTATCAAAATTCAGGAGCAGTCGAGGATAATCCAGGGGTTTAGTCTGGGGTAATTTATTTCTCCTGGAATTATTCCTGTGATCAGCCAATTGAAATTGAATCGATAAATCATAAATCTCCACTGATGTCTCCGTCATTGGCACAAAATCATTGAGTGCCTCGTACTCTTCTACTGTCACTGGTGGCAATTCATTGACTGCTGGCTCGATTTTACGAGGAATGCAGTTCAATATGTCAGATTTTTCAATAGCACCAGTGATTGCTGGAAGTCTGTGAATAAATCCAGAGCAAATTCTTATCGATACATTGCCAATGAATAATTTTGCCGACTCTTTCTCGTGATAATTGCTGTACTCAAAATTCCTCGCCAGATCCAGCAACTCGTCCTGTCTGATGTCATCAGGAAGTTGAATGACATGAACAAAGTCCAGGCAGATGGCTGGACAATTCCTGAAGAATTCTCTAGTTGACGAGTCAGATGACAGCCTCTCCTGGATATCATCATTGTAATCTTTGGTAATTAATCGAGTGATGGTGAAGTTATCATCGAACAGAGTGTCCTTCAAGTAATTATTTATGGAATTGCCAGCAAATAAATACAGTGGTAATTCAGCATTAGCTTTCACCTCGACAAATCCACAGCTGCAGTTGCCTCTGGGGGACAACTGTACATTACCAATTCCCATTCTGTATGCCGTGACTGTTATTCCCTGCTGCACAGCTTCTGCCACAACTCCTGATAATTTCAGAGTGAGAAAAGGTCGATATCTTATTTTCATCGATTTGTGGGTGAATGATTCCTTGATTGTCTCCATCGTCTTCAGGGTGAGAATAGCGTCTTCAATGTAAATACCAAATTGTATTGTCTGTCCTACATAATTGAGGGGTTGATCCATTGACAATTCGTCATCCCAGACAACTGGAAGAACTGATGCCACAGTATTCCACGCCCAAGTACCCCACCCATTGCTGTTTGAAATTGGAGTTTGAGATATACTCTCATCGATTTCCCCAATTTCCGACTGAATTTCCTCAGACATCGATGACTTTCGACGATTCAGAATTGCTCTCTTCGACTGTAGAGCCATGAGCATCGAGATTAATCGCAAAATCATGGGAATCTGCTGCTCTGTTATCGAGAACTCCATCTTCGACGAGTGAATGTCGAATCGAGTTATTGTCGAGCGTCTAGATGAGCTACTCTGGCAATTAATTATTGCTCTGATTGTCATGGAGCAACGGTAGACCACTGGATCCTGGTAGATGTCAATTTTTCCTGATGAATCCATCTTGTCCAGACACAGGGTAAGATCCTCGATTGTGATGACCTTGCGGAGGATCATGTCGTTGACGTCAGTGAATGTCGGCTGCCAGGAGTCGTTGACTGTCTGCATCGAGAGACATCGAATATTCACACTCAGGACAATATCCTCCTCCACAAATTTCAGGATTAAGTTATTGCAGTTTATCGTTATGTTGTTGACAACTTTTGTTACGATACTCTTCATGTATCCAGGTGGTGTGTCATCCTGGAACGAATCCTGGACACGTGGGGTGATCTCCTCCTCTTTTTCCGAGTTGTCTTTCATTTTTAAAATGCATTCTATCGTGTTTATCGTTATTACTATCGGCTCGGAGGTGATCTTCACCCAGGGTACGTGGATGAGGAGCTCGTGGATGTGACCACTCACGAAGCTGAAGGGCAGATCCAATTGCTCGTTCAAAACGTTCAGTCGAAGGTCCAGGTTTTGAAATGCTGCGTCTCCACCCCAGAGGGACACCTGGGGATTCAGAAATATTGAGAGGTTTCTTTGAGGAGTTTTTCTAGCGAAATCATTGGGTGTTATTGGGTAATTGTCGGGGGTGAGTGACAACAATGGAAAATACCTGTGACTGTTCTGGTTTGAAGTTCTTCACGTACTTCCCAACATAATTGAGAAGTACTGGAGTGATGTACGACTCCAATTTGAACATTATGTTCTTTTTAAAATCACAGGTAGTGTGTAATACTCATTCAATTAAATTTATATCCCGTAATTTTTTCATAATTAATGTGACATCGAACACTGAATTTTGACTGGCAGAAGCTAGAGGTGTCTTTTAACCTCATATCTCGGATTGTTGACGTAGCAATAAACATTCCCCATCATTCGTGTTATCAGGCGATATCTTTCGCCACTTGACGTGACAATTTCATTCATAACCTCATTTCATCTCCGAATTTCTGAAAACGAACACAAAACTGAAGTTGCTGGAGGGAAGAAATAAGAAATGCTGCCAAATGTTTTTTTTTAGAATGCCGTCAGTTTTCCTGATAAAATTCCGATAAATTCAAATTATCACATTTTTCTGAATTGCCAGAAAATTTTCAGGAATTTGAATTAAATTGAAAAAGGGGAAATTCCCCCAAATTCTGTTCATAATTTGAAAATTCCCGCCGATCACGTAGTGGTTGATGGGCAAGAGACGCCATTGAATCTCCAGCTGTTGGTGAAACAGAACGAACAGAACAAATCCAGAATCTAGAATAAAAACGATGAAATACCGAAAGAAGATGTCGTCCCCATATTATTCCGGGCGTTTCGCGATTAATTCCAAAAAGCTGTTCCTCCATTGTTATCTGTACATTCAGTGTTGAGTGTTCCTGTAGAAATTCAGTCGGACATTGGGTGTGGGTACTCGAGGTGCCAGTGAGAGTCAGTGGTTTTACACTTTACACAGTGACAAGGCGGACATGTTGTAGGTGTATATCAATGTGTTCGTAAAAAAAAAAGGGGGAAAAAGATAAATTCCACCTGAAATCACCCATGAATTTCCCCAATTTCCCAGTCCAACGGATAAAGTGGATGATTACAACGAGTGACCAGTGACTCAATGAATTAAACATATGTGAAGTGAATCGTGTTTGTTACCCTTTTAAAGTGACTGGATATTTCAATAATGAGTTGGGGTAGTGAACTTTGGGTATGTACCCACTATTTATCCATTTCATCTACACCAATTTATCAGATCAACCCCAAGGCCCCATGAGTCATCCACCGGTTCTCCAAACCCCATCCCGAGGACATATCGTTATTTCAGGAGACAAAAATCTAATTGTCCCTTTATTTCCATCATTTCAATAATTCCAACCGATTTAGCGTCTGAAAACCCGTTCTGAATGAGCCCCAGGCTAAACCCCACAAATCCACCATTTCGTATCACATTTTTTTTTTTACCTTTTCTTATCCTCTAGCGAATTTTTTTCTCCCTCTTTATCCAGACAATCAGTTACTCCTATTTAATAATCACTATTCATGGGTAATTATTGTCGTAATGATTACAACTGTACAAGTACCTCCTTTATCCTCATTGAATTGATGTACATTGAAATTATTCGATTCAACTGTCCGTTTATTAAGGTGCACTCTATTTTTAAACCACAAGTTCTTTTACCTTTTGTGCATCACCCGGTTTACGGAATTGTAGGACAATTTTGTTGAAGACTATTCTCATGTTCTAGTCTCTATTATTACACTGTCAATTTTGTTATGACAGGGGATCACTCGGAAAATAATTTGTACTTGATAACCTGTTAATTTATTATTTCTCCCAGATTCTGATAAAATGAGAATGAAAAACTGTTGAATTTTTGTAAATTCAACGAAAACTCGGTTTTTCTTGATTATCAGCGAAATCAATGGAGATAGCGAAATTTTTGTTGAAACCTTTTTTGAAGAGGAAGCTGAAACCTATGAAAAAGGTAGAGACGAAAATTTCGGTATCTCTATTAGTTTAGGAGATTATCCCTCAGGTAATCAAGTGGAGATTTGAAGGAATTTCCGTCGTTTCGGTATTTGACAAATTTTTATTAACAGATACATTTGTTTAGTAAATTTATTGCCTATGAGGAAATCCAGATTTATGACAAATATTTATATGCATTTAATAGAAGAGAATGAAGAATGAAAAAAGGAATTGGCGTAAATAATTGAGGCTTTTCTGGTTATTCAGTCGCAATTGATTGTAAAATTACAATAGCTCATGTTTTCATTTCGAAATTTGTTTCCCTCGGAAGCGGATGCATATCCGAGAATTTCCACTTGTTTATTTTGTCTATTTTCTTCGGTTAAACTGTCTAGAACTTTTTTTTCCCCAACGTCAATGTATTCTGCATTCGACTGTTGTCCGACTTGTGACGTAGAAAAAAAAAAAAAACCGTTTTACCGTAGTAAATTTCATACGTGAGTGCTTACACACAGGCATTACACCATACAATTGACAGTTAACATGGAAATCGTTTGATTCAATCGGAATCTGAATTTGTTTTTCTAATTTCGTGAATTCTTTCGGTGAAAATGAAATCAGGTATTTAACACCCACGCAAATCCCTCTCGCCTACATTTTCTTCAGATTTCATCTTGCCACTCACAAAATGAGTCGACACAATTCTGCGATTGCACAAGTACAACAGACATAACATTGTACGAACGTGAGGTCGCTTCCCTCATTTTTTGCATTTTTTTTATTTGCCAATAGCGTCAGTTATGATGTGAAGTGGAAAAATGGAGAATATCTCCGGAACTAACGGAAATAATGGCATTTTTCATATGACCTTTTTTGTAGTTCGCAATCATCTCCACAAAAAAGGTCACGACGAAAATTTAATCATATGTGTTGGTTTCTGAGATTTTCCCAAAAACTCACGCAGAGTCTAGTATACTTACTTAATAGCTCTTGACCTGGATTTTTCGGAAATATCCTCTAAACTAGGAGAGATAAACAGATTTTCATCAGAACCTTTTTTCCAGAGATAATTATGGACTACAAAAACGATCTTTACCAAAATTTCGGTATTTCCCCTAGTTTCGGAGATATTTCCCGAAAAATTGACAGCAGAACTGTCTTCAATCTCTAGCTTAAAAATCTGCCGTGAGTTTTTCGAGGATATCCCGTGAACAAAAAGGAATTCCCAAATTTTCGTTAGAACCTTTTTTGTGGAGGTGATTCCGAGCTACAAAATTCATTTGAATGAAAAATCGATATCTCGATTAGTTCAGAGGATATCTGGGTAAAACCGATCAAACGGGGTATTGGTAAACCTGAGAAAATTGTCTTGAGAGGATTGAGGAAATTGAGAGGATCAAAGTCGTTGAAATTTATTTGAAATGAAACATATGACATTACTCATAGTACTAGTACAAAGAAAGATATTGTGGGGATCGATAGAAAATGAGGGTGAGACGCCCTCGCCGACTCGATTACGTGACTCATAGTGTGCACTTGAGAATTCGAAAAAAAAAAAAAAAAATGCACGTACACATGTGTAATAAAATGACGAGCCGCCACTTTCGTTTGAAATATGTGAAAAATTTTCATTCTCCATTCATCAGTCGTTTCCTCCGTTGATGGATTGATTCCCAGGTTAGAGAGGAAAGAAATCTCGGAGAATTTCCGTGTTGAGATTTTTTTTTTTATCATTTTCATCCTTCTGTCATTTTCTAATTCATTTTTAATTCATTTTTTATTATTTATAACAACCGGATGTATCGGACATGCGCCTTCTACATTAATTACACTCAATCCCTTTTTCACGTGCAACGAAAAAAAATAATAATTTATTATTATTTTGTGTGGAGCGATGATTTTTCGGTTTGAAAATATTTTAGAATGTTTATAAAATTGATTTTGATTGCAAATCGCGCAGAAAATGGGAACAATTTGGATTTAAAGAGATTTTTTAATTATAACTGCTGTTCGTTGAATATCTGTTAATTAGAATTGATTTATGATTGATTATTTAATGGGTGAAACGAATATTTTACGTCACACTAGAGAAAAATCACGTTTTATTCCGTAAAAAAAACGTAACGAACCTGAAATTGCGAGTAATTTTTCTCTCACACACATTAAAATTCAAGTTCGTTACATAATTTTTCATTAACGACTCAATTACGGAATTTTTTTAGAAATTTTTATTGAACTTTTGAAAGCGAATGGGTTTTGCTAGAAAGTAAATTTATTATTTAGTATACTAATTGAGGATAAAAAGTAAATATAAAAAAACTCAATCACATCACAATCACCTCATATTAAACCCAATATTTTATTTTTCTCAAAAATCAATTTATTCCTAATATTTAAACAACAAAACACTAAACTAGAACAACTGCACAATTTCTCCCGTCGAGTTATCCCCAAATATCTCACGATCGAAAGCAGCTATGAAAATTCTCGAAAAGACATTTTATCCAGACAAAGACAAGAGCTACAAAAAAGATATCAATGAAAATTTCGGTATTTCCCTTCAATTCCGAGATATAAATTGAAAAAACAGCACTCGCTGACTCAACGAGATTTGCGTGAGAATTTCGAGTGCAAATAGCAATTTGAATTTGCAGTGAGCAGCTAGGGTACATTGGATTGGGAATTGTCCCTCATTGACGTGGTTAATTGATAATACATGTGACAAGGTCAATGGAATTTGTCATTGAGTGGCCGAATGATTTGGCCGAGAGTATTTTATTCTCTATCAGCCGTTGAACTTTTATGGGAAAGACATTTCATTCCCCTCACATCCCCTTCCTCTTCGTCACTGATGCCACATTTGTTGTAACTCCCTATTCGGCATCAACCGGTTTTACCAGCAAAACAACACTTGACCCTGCAATTCCTCTTTTATTTCATCATTTATTTTATTTATTATCGTATAAATGTGGAAAATGATACATTAATCTGTCGAGTGTGAATGAAAAAATGGATGGGATATCGTTTGTATCTGCTCGATAAGACTTGCAATCATCTACTTCCCGTTATGATAACTGAAATGTCCGGGGAAAACTTCACACTGATAATCAATACCACTTCTCCCAAAACCATTTTTTATTCATTCGAATTTTTATTCAATTCAATTTTAACAATTTTTTTATCTCCAATTCGCCATAATTACAATTATAATTACCATTACAATTGAATTATTATTATTTCCAATTCTATGGACTTACGCCTTTTATAATATTTTTTTTTAGTGAACTCAAGTTAATTTATTGGAATTATCAATTGCAATTGGAAAAATAATTACAGAGAAATTATACAATTTACAATTATTTAATTCAATTCAATTTTCTTTAGATAATCATGATTATTTATTGATTAAACAATTTTATAATAATTTTAATATAAATAGAACTCGGAGAAAAATGTTGTGTTCACTGAAAAAAAATTTTATTTCAATTTTTCGATAAATAAATTCATTTAATTCAAATAAATTATATTTCATTCAATTTTTCAATTGTAAATCTCACATTTTCATTAACATTTACCCTAAAATCTCATGCAATGCCGCTCACATTGGAATGACTATTCAATTTCACTTTATATAACGATAAATGAAATTAAAATTGTATGAGTGTTATCTTCATTGAGTCTCTGATTACTTCCAGGATCAATACGATAATCTATCCCTGCACACGCAGAAGGGGATAGATTTTCTCGAGAGATATGGACATTTCATCCGGGATCGGTGTAAAATTGAAGTGGAGTACGCAGGAAATTTGAGGTAAATAACAACAATTGAAATAAATAATTAAATCTGTAATAATTAAAACGATAAATTTCGATTCAGACCTACAGTAAATCTGAATTATGCGGTAGTAGACTTGATCATTCACCAGAAAGTAATGTTTATTCATTGGATAATGTTGCAGAAGGCTAGTGAAAAATTATCAACCGAAGAAAAAGGAGGAGGAGGACTACCTGTGAGTAAAAATAAGGACAATATTTGATAACTGGGTGAAAGCTATTGAGAAAGTCGCTGGAGTTGAAATCATTTAACACCGGTCTTTCTTTTCCCCTTGGACAGTTCATTCGTTATCGGAAATAGGACTTAGAGATAAGGATCTAATGATCACTGATTACTCAGAATAGCTCATTGAGAAATCAACGGAAAATCGTTGACCTTTCGGGGAATTTTGGTAGAAAGTACTCGTAATTATTCCCAATAATCACTTATCAGTACAATTTCCACATTCTTTCGTACTCACATACCAATTTAACTATTATTAATAAATCGTTAAACAATCGTAAATTGAATTATCGATTGACTGAAATGGGGATTTGATTTTTAATATCTTCATTATTCCTGAAAACTATTATTCTTTACTTGTCCTTATGTTCTCAAAGATTCTAGTATCTTTATTGAAAATTTGTCCCGAGACTTTCTCTCAGCATATCGCGCTTTTTCCATTTCTCAATATAATTTTAAAATGTTTCTAAACCTCAGAATTGCTTTTCTTTTTTAATTGCACGTGTGAAAATAAATAAAATCGAGGTACACCTCAAACTAAAATAAAAATTTAAACAAATATAAACAGCATAAATATACAAGATACCATGAAAGATAAAAGATAAAAGACTAAAATTAGTGTCAAACCAAAAAAAGACATGTTTGATTGCTAGGTATTATTTCCCAATGGACAACCACAAATTGCGGGGAATCCCACGATAGTAGACCAAAACCGCGAGCAATGAGATAATATTAAAAAATTCAGAATAAAAAAAAATAACACGAAATAAAAAATAGAATAATTTCATTAATAAATTCAATTGAATAAATTGTTATTTCTATTTACATTTGTTTATTCTATTTTTTATTTTGAATAATATTCAAAGAACTGATCTAATTTCAATGCTGGAAGTAATAGTCCTTAATCAATGATTTCTTCAATCAAAAGTCGAGACCGAAAGGTGTAAATCCAAAAAAAGCAAGAAAAGCTAGAGCGTCGATGGAGTAACAAATAAAATACTATAAATAGATTTGAACAGTTGAAATATCTAGTGCGTAGGATGATCTCCAGAGGAATGACGTCTCCTCGAAATGATAAATCCATAATTTCTCGTTTTTTTCAGATACAGTCCGTGCAAAGCATTCAAATTAGAATTGAATGAGGTGAATGATCAGGCGGGGCAGAGGGAAGTGATTGCTGAGAATCTCCAGGCAAATGTTCTTCGTGAACTGAATTTACTTGTTAAAGATTTCAAAGAGGACAGGAAAAAACATCTCCAAGAGGGTGCAAGATTGATGACATCATTGGCAACGCAAATTGGTAACTTGGAGAGAGCAAGAAAGGCGTATGAGAAAGCATTTCGCGAATCGGAGAGAGCAATTGAGAATTTCCAAAGGGCTGACGCTGATCTTCACTTGTCGAGAGCAGATGTACGTGTCTTAATCTGTTATTAATTAAAATAAAAAGATAAATCGATGGCCCAATAACCAACGCCCAAATGAATTGATAAAAATTGATAAATACTTCAGATCATGATTTCCATGATTTTCATTTTGATATCAACACCAAAAAATAATTAATAACTCGATTTATTTATTTGATAGAGAGACACGTGTCAGTAATTATTTCATTAGTAATCGACGTATGTTAACGAGGTAATTGTTGGGATCAGGTGGAGAAGCAGAGGATGAATAAGACGCTGAAGACGCAGCAGAGTGAAGAGGCAAAAACGGAATACGCGAATCAATTGCAGAAAACTAATGAATTGCAGAGGCTCCATTATCACAACGCAATGCCGGAAGTTTTTCAACATTTGCAGGTAAATCAAGTCATACCATTATTAATAATTTTAGTATCTTTTCCCAGCGTTTTACACAGTAATGAGTCATCGATGTTGAGGTGTGATCCTGATAAAGAGATATGGCCAAGATCGTGGTCATTACCTTGTCACGATTATTTTTAGGGAGAGATTTCTGGAATTCTCTTCTGGCTGAGAAAATTTGCTATTGAAAATGTCACGATTCATTGTCAAATGACTCAGTATCGAGATAATTCTGTAATTAGTCAGAGATGACATATCGGCTCGAACGATATCACGTCACTTGATAACCAATCTCGTGCTTATTCATCGGGTTTGACACGAAAAACAATTGAGTTCAAATTAATTTAAAGAAATTCGATAAATAATTAAATTCGATAGAAAAATACGCAATTAATGGATGATTGCCTCCCAGATAAATCGATGAGATTAAATTACTAAAATAATTAATAGAATTTGAATATGAACATGAATATTTCATTCACAAAAATTTCTGCGTTTCAATTAATATTTTAGCAAATAATATTTCATGTCTTGTAATCTTATCTCCTCTAATATTATTGTTGTCAAATTTTAGACATTTATTTATATTTTTTAATTTCTCTCTGGCTCTCACACCGATAATTCAATTAATCGATTTTTTATCTCATTTTGAACAGGAACTCGACGAGAAGAGGATAAAGAACATGAGGAATTACATGTTAAAATCGGCAGACATTGAACGTGCAGTGGCACCGATAATCGCCAAGTGTCTGGATGGAATCGAGAGGGCGGCCAATGAGATTAATGAAAAAGAGGACACAATGTTGGTGATTGAACGGTACAAGAGTGGCTTCACACCACCTGGCGATTTTCCATTTGAGGATCTCTCAGATGTCAAGACATACGACAGCAATACCCAATTATCCCAGCCCGCAATGCAACCGATACATAATCATTTGACCGTCAAAGGTACTGTTTCTGGTGGGAAAATAAAGAAAAGAGTCGGCATATTCGGCATATTCAGCAGCAACAAGGTAATTCACATTATTTATTATCCACTGAATGAATCAGATCTCATAGATATCTCGCATTTTTATTTATCATCCTGGGGGACTCTCTTTTTATCGGTTTTGGATCTTGTTCCATGAATTCTCATTTCATTTGATCTCTTTGGGAGTTAAAATTCTGGTGTTTGATCGCATGCGCACATGATAAGGGTCGATGATGATTCTAGATAAAATGATATCAGTGTTAATTCACCTACATATGTCGTGTCAATATAATGTGTCAATCGTATTTACAAATCGATGTTTGTAAATAGTTTCACCGCAATTCAATTTCGAAATGAGGAACTAGGATAAGTTTATTTATTCGTCACCAGTATTCATCGAATATCCCCTAAACCAAAGAATATAGTGTTATTTAAAAAAAAAATCCCTCATCCCTCTTCGCCAATTCGTTACCGAATTAAAGTCTAGATATATTCAGTCTACAATTCTCGAGGCACAATAATTTTTTCGATTTCCACTGACAATTCTATTTTTCTCGCTGATTTGATTTAACAATTAAAACACCTGCAAAATATTCCATTTCGACGAAACCTCGAGAAGATATTTCAAATCCCATTAAACTTCATTCGTTATAAACAATAAATTACTGTCTCTCGCAATAATAAAAATCCATTATTTATGTTTTTATATATTTGAAAATTCGGTGGTTGGTTCAACGTGACGTTTCACACCAACAAATCCATCATCAATAAAATTGGGGGATTTTGTTTAATTTAGTAAGTACTTTGCTTCGAAAACAAAAGTGCTAATTGTTTTTCCTCTGCTTGTGAAAGACTAATAGCAATTCCATAATTATTGTTACTTGGCTATTAATAATATTAATGGAAAGTGAAATGGCTTTTGTGATTTGTTTCATGCAAAAATTTAAAAAACGGCAGAAGTTGATCGAGGTGTGCATAGCTTTGAAGGTCTGTCTGTCTTTTTGTCATTAATTTGCTTTTGTTTAACATATCTGCACTAAATTCGTGGAAACTTACTCCATTAATTGACATGATAATTAATCCCCTCAATAACTCCAGAATTATTATTCAATTCATGATTATTAATTCGATTTTATTAATTATCAAATCTCGAATAATTTTAAACAATTAAAATCACGTGTTCCACGAATTCAATGGAGAATTCATTATTTTATTAATAACGAGCTTCTTAATGAACTTTAAATGTCTCCAATTGATAAATCATGAGAATAATGATCACAGCGTTACCATGACATCACAATCACGTGTTCCTCGTGGCTCTGATTATTTTCCTGATGTGTGTGTTTTCAGATTTAATTGGTTGACGTAAAATGCAATGAAGATGTAATGATTGTAATGATTTCAGAATAATGTTCCTGGTTATGGTGACGGTGTGAAGGAGGACTGCAGTGATTTGCCACCGAATCAGAGGAAAAAGCGTTTGCAGCAGAGATTGGATGACATTCAGGCGAAAATTCAGCAGGAAACGGCAGCGAGGGATGGTCTCATGAAGATGAAGGGAGTTTATGAGCATAATCCAGCGCTTGGTGATCCCATGAGTATAGAAGGACAATTGAATCAATCGAGTCATAAACTCGATAAACTGGGGGGCGAGTTGGCCAAGTTTCAGGGATACCTTGAGGAAGCCATAAAAGCTGGAGCTGGTCTCTCAAGGTTAATCTGATTTTTATTATAAATCACAATTAAACGAGTCGGGATCATTCGCTATTTAATTTTAATTTCATTAATTGTTTATTTTTCAATGAAAATAGATATCGGTGAATAATTCATTTATTGCTGAAATATGGAATGGCAATCTGGAAATTAAATCATGTCAGTGATTTAATTAGATTTGCTCTGCCCTGAATTTATGATTATCCGGCGGGAGATGAGTCTTTTGATTATTTATTTATTCCGAGGTTCTGCTTCGGAGTTTGCGAGTCGTGGGAATTTCCAAGTCACTGGGTTTTCCGTTGCAACGGATTGTGATCGTTTAGAAATTACGGAAATGTAAAACGAAACTAGTTGATTTCCATTTGGAAGGCGGATATCTCTGAATCTGAAGGAGATAACGAAAATAGTGTAATTACCTTTTTTATCGATGTTAATTGGATCTATAAAAAAGATCATGATGATGATTTTGATATCTGCCCCGGGTTTTGAGATATTCGCTGAGAGGTTCGAATGATTTTTAACTGTTATGATTTAATCGGATATTTATGGTAGAATTTTATTTTTCATTCATTCCAAAGTCCAAGTCAAGCATCGAGAAAGCCAACGAGTAACGGTTCAACCACACGATCAGCAAATTCGAGGAGATCGAGTCACTCAGGCGGCGAGGAGAGTCTCTCAAGATCAGCATCTGACTCAAGTGTCTGCAATGCAAATGCCAATCAATCGGTGCATAAGAAGAGTGCACCAGGTACTCCACAACCAAGTCATGAGTGAGTTTGTCATTTCTTCATCTGAGAAAATAGGCTTTCCTCGTCTAAATCATTAAATAACAGGTCGAAACGAAATTATTCATATTTTTACTCAATTATTTACAATTATGGAATCACGTCATTAGAATTATCAGATCGATTGACTTTTTCAATACTTCTGTTAATTGAAATTTATAATAATTGATTTTCTATTCTCTTTTTCGGATTTTTGTCGTTTTTCCGATTTAAAAATGAAACTGAAAAATTGCATAAATGTTTCTTAAATAACGTTTTTATTAAAAAAAAATAGAAATTCATAATAATTTCATAAATCTTCCTCCAGGAGTTGAAATTTTTCATATCCTTCGATTATTTGAATCGTATTTAGTTGAGTAGTTAGGTAAATAGACAAGGTATTGGCTTTACGGTACTCATGCACAGTTCCACGAATAGCCCGGAATCTGGACTTGGTGCTTCGAGGACATCTCTGCCAGGAAGTGGAGGCGAGGAATATTACGCCGACGAAGTTGACGCACCACCACCACTGGGAACCTGTCGAGCGCTTTACCCCTTCGACGGTAATTCATCTTCATTCCATTTAATTTCCCATTAAAGCCCAATTAAAACAAATTATTCATAAAAATTGATGCTATATATTACATAATTATAATAATTTAATTTTAAGGCCCGGGTGGACTACCTATAGAACGTCATCTTTTGTTTAAATTTTATCTTTCTAGCCTAAAATACATAAAAATTTGGGATAAGTTTTGAGGTCACGAAAATCACTGGATTTGGCATGAAAAAATAATGAAAAAAAAGAGGAAAAAATTTTGAAG